CTGAAATAAAAAATATTTTACAGAGTCCTAAAAACAGAAGGGAAGATCACAAGAATCAAGTCAAAGATTTGGAACATAAAGAGCCAGAAGACACTCCTCCACAGAAGCTAGAAGGCAAGAGAATCCAGAAAATTGAAGATAATGTAAGAAACCTCTGGGACAACTTCAAGCAAACCAACATCAGAATTATGGGGGTCCCAGAAGATGAGAGAGAGCAAGATATCGAAAACATACTGAAAGAAATAGTGACAGAAAACTTCCCCCATCTGGTGAAAGAATTAGACTTACAAGTCCAGGAAGCGCACAGAACTCCAAACAAAAGGAATCCAAAGAGGACCACACCGAGACACATCATTATTAAAATTCCAAGAGCAAAAGACAAAGAGAGAATATTAAAAGAAGCAAGAGCAAAGAAGGTAGTAATCTATAAAGGAGCACCTATACGATTGTCAGCTGACTTCTCAACAGAAACCCTGCAGGCCAGAAGGGAATGGCAAGAAATATTCAAGGTGATGAATAGCAAGAACCTACAGCCAAAAATAATCTACCCAGCAAACCTATCACTCAGAATTGAAGGCCAGATAAAGAGCTTCACTAATAAAAAAAAGCTAAAGGAGTTCATCACCGCCAAACCAGAATTATATGAATTGCTGAAGGGGGTTCTTTTAGAAGAGAAAGTAAACAAAGATAAAAATTATGAACAACAAATACGTAACTATCAACAAGTGAATCTAAAAACCAAGGAAATTTAAAAAATCTGATGAACAATATTAACTATTGAATATAATAGAATCAGAGGTATGGAAGGGGAGTGAACTGACGATTCTTGGGGAAAAGGGGAGAGGGGGGCGTGGGAAGAGACTGAACATAAACTGTGTACCTATGGATGAGGACAATGGGGAGAGGGGAAAGGGCAGAGGGTGGGGTGGGAACCTGGTGGAGGAGAGCAATGGTGGGGGGGGGGGGGGAGGAACATTTGTAATAATATGAACAATAAAAACTTATAAAAAAAACAAACAAAAAAAAACACAAAGAACCACAAAAAAAAAAAAAGAAGAAGAGGAAGAAGAACAAAAAGGTAAATATAAAAATTATGAACAATAAATATGTATCCATCAATAAGTGAATCTAAAAACCAAGAGAATAAAAAATCTGATGAATAGTATTAACTGGTGAATATAATAGAATCAGGGGCATAGAAAGGGAGTGGACTGACAATTCTTGGGGGGAAAGGGGCATGGGGGTGCGGGAAGAGACTGAACAAAAAGCATACACCTATGGATGAGGACAGTGGTGGGGAGATAAGGGAATAGGGTGGGGTCGGAACCTAGTGGAAGGTAGCTATGGGGGGGGGGGGGGGGGAGAAGAGGAACAATTCTAATAATCTAAACAATAAAGATTTATTCAATTTTAAAAAGAGTTTCAGAAAATGAAAGTCTAGGATCCAGAGGTGATTCTACTCTCCTCCACTCGACAAGTTCAGGATGGGATCTGGGCAGGGAACATGGTGTAGTCACAGACAATGGGGGCTCACAGGACTCTACAAGAGGGGACAGACACTCCACAGCTGGCTCCTGCAACCGATGCAGCAGGCTGATGGCTGTGCTTTTCACCTCTGCGTCTGTCCACAGGCTGGTGGGAGGTGGGGAAGAGACCTGAGGCATCCAGGGAAGTGTTGGGTCCTGCCAGGGCCTCAGGATTTGTTTGTCCATCCCTATACCTCATCCAGTGACTCCACAATTCTTAACAAATCCTGGAGAGGAGACAATAGCCCCTCGGCTCTCTGGAATGAAGGAAGGGATTTCACTTCCCTCTTCAAATTTCTACCCAGGTCATTCCATCCATCTGTGTACCATCCTTAAAACCCTGACTCTTCCTGTCATCTACCCACACCCCACTGCTCCCGAAGGCCACAGTTTCACTACCTGGGCCTCAGTAAAGTTTCAACTTTAAGGCAAAAATAATCAGTGGAAATCCATGTTTTCAAGACAAATCAATAACTGGTTTTGGTGTCCTTTCTCAGGATCCCTGTTGAGACACAACCTTCCAGCCAAGATTTGCTGAGTTGGCCGCTGAGGCTGATGGGTCATGGCTATGCCCCTTTTTATCTTTCCCGTATTCCTGAATCCCGTGCCTTCTGTCTCCTACCCAGGTCAACTCTCAGGCCATCTGGAGAGCTCTCTCTGCCTGTGGTCTCAACTCCTGCCCCTGCCACCCATCCTCAGCCCTGTAGCCAGTGCAGTCTCTACTGCTGATGTGATGATGTGATGAAGAAGCTCCCTGAATAAAGTGCTTCTCTGGGGCTTCACTCACAACAGGACCCCTGGAACCCAATTCCCATAGCAGTTATGTATGAGGATGGGCTGCACAGTTCCAATTCTGCCTCAGATGTTTTCTGGCAGGGCCCAGGGACAGGTTGAATCAAACTAATTGTGTGGGGCCAAACTAATACGTAGAACAGAAACAACAAAAAGGTGCTTCCAGTCCTAGCCAGGTGACTCAGTGGGTTGGAGTGTCATCCCATACACCAAAAGATTGTGGGTTCAATCTTATGTCAGGATGTGTATGAGAAGCAACCAATCAATGTTCCTCTTTCTCTCTCTCTCTCTCTCTCTCTCTCTCTCTCTCTCTCTCTCTCTCTCTCTCTCTCTCTCTCTCTCTCTCTCTCTCTCTCTCTCTCTCTCCCTCTCTCTAATAAAAACATATCCTCAGGCAACGATTTTCTTTTTTTTTTTAAGGTGCCTCCCAATGAAAATCCCTGGCAAAAAGCAAGAGAGAACTATCTGGAAGAGAAAGCCTCTGAGGCTGTGTGAAATCAACCCCTTGGAAAAGGCTCCCCCGGAAGCAGAAGAACCAAAGGAGGGCCTCTCAGTCCAAACCTGAGGGAGTCCGAGAAGGCCTTGATGCCATACTTAGTGATGCAGTAGCCCCCACCTGAAACACTCAACCTGCCCAAGACACCCACATGGTCTGGTGCCTTCCTCCCCAGGGGCAGCAGACTCAGGGTCACCTCAATCACCCCCAGCAGGTTCACATTGAGTATCTTTTTTTTTTTTTAATAAATCTTCATTGTTCAGATTATTACAGGTGTTCCTCTCCCCCAGCTCCCCTCTTGGCTTCCCCTCCACCTGATTCCCAACCCAGCCCCACACCCTTACCCCCACCACTGTCTTCATCCATAGATGTAAGATTTTCCTCCACTCTCGTCCCGCACCCCTCAGACCCCCTTTCCCCTGTGAATTGTTAGTCCAATCCCTTTCTATGTTCCTGATTCTATTATATTCACCAATCCATTTTGTTCTTCCGATTTTTTTTTTTTATTCTCTTGATTTTTAGATTCGCTTGTTGGTAAGTGTGTATTTGATGCCTTTTTGTTGTTCATAATTTTTTACCTTTACCTTTTTCTTCTTCTTCTGCTTCTTAAAGAATACCCTTCAACATAATCCTGGTTTGGTGTTGATGAACTCCTTTAACTTTTTCTTGTCTGTGAAGCTCTTTCTTTTCTTTTTTTAATAAAAATATATATTTTATTGATTTTTTTTACAGAGAGGAAGAGAGAGGGATAGAGAGTTAGAAACATCGATGAGAGAGAAGCATCTATTAGCTGCCTCTTGCACACCCCCTACTGGGGATATGCCCGCAACCAAGGTACATGTCCTTGACCGGAATCGAACCCGGGACCTTTCAGTCCGCAGGCCGACACTCTATCCATTGAGCCAAACCGGTTTCGGCTGAGCCAAACCGGTTTCAGCCTGTGAAGCTCTTTATCTGACCTTCAATTCTGAATGATATCTTTGCTGGGTACAGTAATCTTGGTTGTAGGTTCTTGTTGTTCATCATTTTGAATATTTCTTGCCACTCCCTTCTGGCCTGCATAGTTTCTGTTGAGAAATCAGCTGACAGTCGTATGGGTACTCCCTTGTAGGTAACTAGTTGTTTTTCTCTTGCTGCTTGTAAGATTTTCTCTTTGTCTTTTGCTCTTGGCATCTTAATTATGATGTTTCTTGGTGTATTCCTTTTTGGATTCCTCCTGTTTGGGGTCCTGTGTGCTTCCTGAATTTGTAAGTCTATTTCTTTCACCAGGTAGGGAAAGTTTTCTGTCATTATTTCTTCCATTAAGCCTTCAATATTCTACTCACTCTCTTCTTCTGGCACCCCAAAAATCCGGATGTTGGTATGTTTTAAGCCATCCCGGAAGCTCCTTACATTATTCTCACACTTTTGGACTCTTTTATCCTTTTGCTTCTCTGTTTGGATGAGTTTTGCTTTCTTATATTCCAGTTCTTTGGTTTGATTCTTAGGACTTGTTGATCTATAGTTGAGTTTCTGTATATTCTTTATTTCAGACTGTGTATGCTTAATTTCTGGCTGGTCCTTTTCCTTTTTTTTTTTTTTTTTTTTTTTTTTTTTTTTTTTTTTTTTTTTTTTTTTTTTTTTTTTTTTTCCTCATTAAGGTCCTTGAAGGTCTCACCAAGCTTCTTGGAGGTCTCATCAAGTTTCTCAAAGGTTTTTAGAAGATTCTTGAGTAATCTTATAAATGTGATTCTGAACTGTGTGTCATCCATTTGTTTATTCTCTTCCATCTCTCCCATTCGTGTCATGCTTCTGTGTTTCCTCATTTTGGCTATCTCCCTGTGTTGATAGAGTGGCTTTATGTGGTCACTGGCCTATAGGGGTCAGTAGACTGGCTTCCCCAATCACCTGAGGTGGTTGCTTTTGCTATATCCCTTTGTGGGCTTAGTGCACAGTCTTGGTGTAATTAAGCCTTGATTGCTGTTGGTATACTGGAGGAATTGACCTCCAGGCCAATTGTCTGTGAGGATCCGCTATGTCTATAAAGGAAGAACTTCTGCGCTGGAGACACACTTGTTTCAGTGGGGCTTTGATGCTCACTGTAACAGTCTCCCTAATGTGTCACTTATGAGTGTGAGGTATTGAAACTGAGCACTAGAACTCTGGTTTCTGGGTCTCAATGAGGTACAGTTCAGCTACTGTCTGAGGCCAGTACTGTTGCAAAAGCTACAGCGTGAACTACAGTCCTTTTCTCCTTGGATCTGTTTGCCCCAGGTTGCAATTTTGCTAAACCGCAACAGAGAGGGCCATTCATATGCAAAGTCCGCTGCTTGTAGATTGGATGTGCTGTGAGGGGCAGAGTCTCAGGGCGGAGTCTCAGGGCATCACTAGGCTGGGGCGCAGACAACAGTAATGGCTACCCGGCCGCTTCTTGGATGGTGTCCCCGCATCTCCCTGCATCTCGCACCAAGCACAGTAAATGATCTCAGCTCTGCAAGCAAGCCAGCCTCACTTTCTGACCAGATGGCAGACAGTCTAGCCTCTCCCCAGAAACTGGATTTCAGAGAGATCAGGCGCTTGTCTCTCTTCGGGTTGAAGAAAGAACCGCCCTCAGTGCGCCGGGATCCTCCGCCAGTCTGTATGGCGTCCTCGCCCTCCTACCTCAGTTTTTCAGCTCGTATGCCCTGGATTCTCCTCTTTCTGTTTCAGTCTAGATGTAGGGCTTCCTCTCAGCCAGCTTTCGTTTGGTTTAGGGGAGATAGACGTTTGTTTTATAGTTTTTCCTCGGACTTGTTGTCCCCGGTGGCTGTTTAGGAGTGTTTACCCAGCGCCATCTTTGTTTTCCACGTTCAGTATCTTTACGAAGTCTTGTTTGGTCAGCCACTCATTGGGTGCCGTGGGCACAGAGATGCTAGCATTATTCATCAGGACCCAGAGTCCTGGGCACACAGAGGGGAGAGAGAAAGACTGTGCTGAGACTGTGCAGTGAGGAGAGGGCTATGGTTCCAACTCACCTTCCAACTGAGTGAGGACATTAGGAGTAGGTGACATGGGGACTGGGTAGAACAGATAACTACATGCTGTCTGCAGGGTTTGGGGCAGTGCAGACCCTGTAAGCTGTGGTGACAGAGTCAGCCTTCCTCCTGGTTTATTCCTAGTGCCCAGCCCGCTGCCTGGCAGAGGAGATTTGATGAGACAGGACTGATTCTAAGGAAATCTAGTGAGTCCACAGTATGGATCTCACAGAGCCCTGTTTGCATTTCACACATCAGTGCTGTCCCCATGAGGGAAAGAGAGAGACACAGACAGAGAGAGAATGAAGAATGGAGAGGAAGAGAGGAACAAAACCACTTTGTATAAATGGGAAAAAGATGATAGTGAACACCTAAGAACACATTGGTTGGGTAAGAAAGATCTGAAATCTCAGGTGGGTGAAGTGGAGAATAGGCCTTGGCTGTCACACATCAGTGTTCTCCCCGCAGACATTGTAAAATTCACCCACATTTTCAGATTTCTGGACAGCTTCCATAGTGAGCGCTCAACAACTATCAATGAGGGAAAGAGGGAGACAATGACAGAGAGATAATGAAGAATGGAGGGGAGAGAGAAAAACACACATACATTGAACACAAGACAAAAGTATAAATATGGCTAATATTTGGGGACACAAGCTGGGTAAAATAGACCTGAAATCCCAGGTGTGAGGAAACCTGATGAACAAGTCTGTGGTTGACCTCAGGTCACTGACCTTGACACAATCTGCATCATCATAGAACTATGATCCTGCAAGAGCTCTTTGAAGGACAGGCTTTGAGGGGGGCCCAAGGCTACCGCTCCCCAACTGCAGCACAGACCCTGAGCCCCATTCAATGCCATTCTCCCTTTGCACTTTCACAGAAGGCCCTCTCCTCCGACTCCCCTGGGCTCACAGTTCATCCAGCTTCTTAGAAATCTCTCTGCAAGATTCAAAGACATCAAGGTTTTTAAACCACAGGCCTCAGGACAGCAGGAGTAGGGTTAGGAGGTGGCCTGGAGAGTGGGATGAAGCTGGAAGTGGGGCAGCTTCCTCATGGCCCCCCTGATTGAGACTCGGCCCTGCTCACACCCACAGGAATAGACCAGACGCCCCCTGCCCCCATGAAAAGAGGGCAGTGGGGCTGGCAAAGACTCTGAGGGACTTTGAGGGTGGGTTACATTGGACCTCTTTGGGCAACGCCCCCCCCCCCCCCCCCCGTTGCAGGCCTGGTGGAGCCCTGCAGTAAGCATCAGTGATTTGTGTCCTCCCAGAAGTACAACCATAGATCATAGACCTAAGCAGTCCACAGCCCCCTGACCTGCTGCAGAGGATTCTGGGAGGTGGGCCCAAATCTCTTGAACACCTTTCCCCGAGGGCTACAAAGTGTCTCAATGATCATTGTTTTGGGGGCAGAGAAATGACAAAACCAGAAGCTCCAGGTTAAGCCTGACACAATGGTTTCATTTTAATGAAGCAAAGTGGCCTGTGCCTGAATGGGCTAAACACGAGAACGTTGACTCTAAGCCTCCGGAAGGCAGGGACTGAGTCTCATCGTTTTGATAGTTCCAACACCTGGCCATGCCTAGCATCTAACAGACACATGAATGCTGAGGGAGATGACACTGCAATGTCCTGCTTCATCTTCCATTTTCACCTGCATTTCTTACATTGTCTGACAATAGGAGCTTCCCCAAAGCCTCCACCCCCTTCACTATATAATGAGGAAGGAGAATCAAGAAGACTTCAGTGAGTCCTGCTGACTCCAACTCTCAGGAAGTCTAAGAATCCACAATCTGTAATCAAAACGGTAAAACCTCAGGAGGCTTTGAGAAGCACTGGAGCATTCAAGAGGAATTTCTGTCCAGCACACATCAGGTGCTCAACAAAAGTTAATGGAAACTGAATAAATGTGGAGTCAGCAAGGGACTGAGCACATCTGCAGAGACCTGGGGGGAGAGTGTGGGAGGTTTGAGAGAACAAAAGGGATAGGAAACCAAAGGAGGGGGAAGAGCTGAGGCACACTGGGAGGCTGCCAGTTTCCCTGGGAAAATGGTACCCAGGGCCTTTCCAGTCTAATCTGTCCAAGTTTCCTCTCCTTAGACAAATGTTGCACATGTCCTACACACACACACACACACACACACACACACACACACACACGTATGCCCTACCTCCCCCCCCCCTTTTTTTTTATCCTAGCCACTGTCCTTGAGATGCTCTTCTAATGCGGTCATTTTAACCTTTTGGACACCATGGACCTCTTTGGAAATCTAAGGAAGGTTCTAAGCCCCATCAAAACAACTTGGCAAACAAGATTTGTATATACTTTTCAGGGAGCTCACAGACCATCTAAAGCCAAGAGCCCAGTCAAGAATCACTGTCATAGGAATTTACTGAACTACTAGCAGACAAGTAGTCAAACCTCTCTGTGCCTCCATTTCTTTGCCTTCCACAGTACCCACCTGGTTGAGTTATGATGATTAAATGAAGTGATACATAACAAGTACCTTGCCCCTGCCTGGTGTGGCTCAGTGGTTGAGCATTGACCTAGGAACTAGGTGGTCGTGGTTCAATTCCCAGTAGGGCACCTGCCCGGGTTGCGGCTTGATCCCCAGTGTGGGGCGTGCAGGAGGCAGCTGATCAAAGATTCTCTCTCATCATTGATGTTTCTCTCTCTCCCTCCTTCTCCCTTCCTCTCTGAAATCAATAAAAATATATTCTAAAAAAAAAAAAAATTAACTATCTAAAAGTACCTTGGAGCCGAAACCGGTTTGGCTCAATGGATAAAGCATTGGCTTGGGGACTGAAGGGACCCAGGTTCGATCCCGGTCAAGGGCATGTACCTTGGTTGCGGGCATATCCCCAGTAGGGGGTGTGCAAGAGGCAGCTGATCGATGACTCTCTCTCTCATCGATGTTTCTAACTCTCTATCTCTCTCCCTTCCTCTCTGTACAAAATCAATAAAATATATATATATATATATATATATATATATATATATTTTAAATAAATAAATAAATAAAAGTACCTTGGAATCCTCCCTGGTAAATGGTGAGTATCCAGTAGCTATTATTACTGCATCTCTTCCATGGCAATTCATAGTGGCATGTGGGGATGTTTTTGACCTTCTATGTAAGAAACACAACACCAAACAAATAAAAGAGGAAGCTGGTTTTGATCCATTTCAGAGAAAAAGGCTGGTCATAGTAGGACTTGGGAGAGGTATCTCAAAATCAATTCCACAATAGGGTCTCTTCTTCCTCATTACCACCTCCCAGAAGTAGAAAAGGGCCATGCTTATGCCCAGCACTTTACATGTTTTACCTCATGTATCCCATACAGTAGCCCTGTGAAGGCAGCATCGTTGTCCTCACTTTACATATAAAGAGTTGGGGACTCAGAAAGGTAGAGTGACTTGCATGATGTCACACAGCTACTATGTGGTGGAAAAAGGTGTCAGAGCCAAGTCTGGTCTCCACACAAGTGTTTACCTCCACCATGTCTTCGTAAAAGCATGAGTGAGCAGGAAAGGGCTGAGTGGTGCCAAGGACAGGGTCCCTGGGCCACATCCTTCTTTGGGGAGCCCCTTATCTGATACTGCCGGGCAGATACGGCTGCCTCCCTTACAGGGGGAAGCCGAGGCCAGGGGGCAAAACAACTTCTGTAGTCTGATTTCGCTTCTGCACTTGGTGGCCTTCGGGAGCTCAGGCTGAGCATGAGAGTGCAATTGTTGCCAAACGCCTCAGTCTTGACCTGTTCACTATCCACCTGCCCTGCCACACAAGGTAGGGTCCTAGGCCTCAAGGCCACAGGGTTGGGTGGAGGTTCCTGAGACAGCCTGCCTTGCCTCTTCCTCTAGGGTCCAGCCACAAGCCCTTAGACCCTCTGACCCTAGGAAGCTGCCTGCCTTTATCTGTGACTTACAATAATTCCTCCCTGGTACCTTCCTTCCTTTCAGATTGTTGATTATAATGTCTTGTCTACATGTTTTTTCAAAACAAAAGGGGGAGGGTGGAAGGAGGAAGAAGAAAGAGTAAGTTTCCAGGAATTGTTTCACTGCTGTCACTCCTCTTGCTTGCAGCAAAGCTGTTTGGCCCCCACTTCTTTTGCCCAGATTGGGAAGGAGCCTGGGCTCCTGTGCCTCCCTGTTACGTTTCCTTCCAGACTCTCTCTTCCCAGCTGCCCACTTCCTCCCTCAAAAAATAAACACCCACATGAAACTGCAGAGCTGTCACTTATTTCTTCCTGAGGGAGCAGATTGCCCTGTGCTTCTGCCAGGAGGGAACACCATCACCTCCTCCGGCTGCACATACACACTAGGCCATGTGAGGGCTGGGGGCTGGGTTGCAGGTGGAGGTGAGGGGACAGGAGTGGGTGATGTCGCCATACCGAGTGGAAGATTCAGGAGCACAGAGCCACCAGCCACTAAAATGCAGGCTGTAGAGGAATAGAAATGGCCATGGGTCAAAATGTGTGGTCCACGTGGAGAGAACAGAGACCAGAACTAGGGGGGCCCTAAATGGTTTGGCTCAGTGGATAGAGCATTGGCCTGCAGACTCTAGGGTCCCAGGTTGGATTCCAGTCAAGGGCATATACGTTGATTGCGGGCACATCCCCAGGAGGGGATGTGCAGAAGGCAACTAATTAATCTTTCTCTCTCATCGATGTTTCAAACTCTCTATTCCTCTCCCTTCCTCTCTGTAAAAAAAAATCAATAAAATAAAATAAAATAAAAAAGAACTAAGGAGCTGAAACCGGTTTGGCTCAGTGGTAGAGCGTCAGTCTGCGGACTGAAAGATCCCGGGTTCGATTCCGGTCAAGGGCATGTGCCTGGGTTGCAGGCACGTCCCCAGTGGGGGATGTGCAGGAGGCAGCTGGTTGATGTTTCTCTCCATCGACGTTTCTAGCTCTCTATCTCTCTCCCTTCCTCTCTGAAAAAAATCAATAAAATATATTTTTTAAAAAAAAGAAAGAAAAGAACTAAGGGGCTTGGTCCAGTGGAATCTCTATCTGTATGTCTCAAAGGCATGGAGAAGGAAGCAAAGATTCTTTTAAGACTCCTTACTGAAAAGATACATCTCCAGGCTAGAAACTGAGATGTGTGTGTGTGTGTGTGTGTGTGTGTGTGTGTGTGTAAGAGAGAGAGAGAGAAACTGCCTGAAAACTTGAAGTAAACCACATTTTATTTATTTACTTTTAATTTATTTTTTTAATCCTTATCCAAGCATATTTTCTATTGATTCTTAAAGAAACTGGAAGAGAGAGGGAGAAACAGAGAAACGTTGATGTGAGAGAAACACATTCATTGGTTGTCTCCTGCACACGCCCTAACCAGGGCCCAGGCCGAGGAGGATCCTACAACTGAGGTACTGCGTGCCATGGGCAGGAATCTGGGACCCTTCAGTCCACAGACCAATGCCCTATCCACTGAACCAAACCAGCTAGGGCTAAACCACATTTATATTCTCATAGGTCATCATGACAAATTTAATGATCTCTGTCCCAGCTCCTGGGTAATAGGAGCATCTCCTCTTGTAATGAGGTGACTCTAGTGGAATCCTGGACAGCTTCGGGATGGGGCTGGCCAGCAGAAAGAGCAGGCCTTGATTAGAAGCTGGAACTGTCAGCCTCACTCGCCATCCTACAGGGAAAGTGTGGGCTGGATATGAAATTAATAATCAAACTTGCCTCTGTGAGGAAGGCTCCACCAACTCTGAACTCTGAGGTTCAGAGATCTTCTTCATTGGTGAACACATCCACAGTTGGGGTGTGGTGCACCCCAGTTCCATGGGGACAGAGGCTCATGACCCTTCCTGACCTCTCCCCCTGGACTTTACCTGGCTGTTCATTATAAACTGGTAAAGGTAAGCAGACATTTCCCCGAGCTCTGTGAGCCATTCCAGCAAATTATTGAAACTGAGGGGCGTTTTCAAGAATCCCTGACTTTGGAGCCATGTTGGACAGAAATACGGATACCCGGGGGATCAAGTGCTTGCGACTGGCCCCTAACGTGAGGACGATCTTGGGGACGGAGTCCTTGCACCTGTGGAGTCTGACACTCGCTCCAGGTGGTTGGTGTCAGAATTGAATTAAATGATAGGATACCCAGTTGGTGTTTGGAGAGTTGGAAAGTTGGTTGGTATGGGGGGAAATCCCTACACTTAGTGTCAAAGTATTGTGAGAAGAGAACCAGTCTTTCTAAAGGAGGCTTTAAGAAAACTGCAAAATTGTCTGAGCCAGTGTGGCTCAGTTGATTGGAGCAACATCCACAACATGAAAAGGTGGCGTGTTCGATTCTGGGTCAGCACACATACCTAGGTTGTGGGTTTGATCCCAGGTCAGAGCATGTTTGGGAGGCAACCGATTGATGTTTCCCTCTCTCTCTCCCTTCTTCCTGTCTCAAAAATCAATTTAAAAGGGGCCGAAACCAGTTTGGCTCAGTGGATACAGTGTCAACCTGTGGACTGAAAGGTCTGCTAGAAGGAACTTAATTCTATTTCCTTAAGACAGAGTTGCTTGTCTCAACTCTGATGGCTCCCAACACTTGGGTTTCCCCAGCAATGGAGGAAGCCAAGCTTCCCCACAGACTCTGGCAGGCTATGGACTCCACTCAAGGCTACAAAGATTCAATTATAGAAGATAAATAAATCCCAGATACCAGGGCCTCCACTTGGGTCACCAGGAGGTGTGGCTGGCTTGCAAACCACCTCAGGCTCCTCACCTAGGCTGCCCCATGACCCAAGGGAACCCTCACCCTGATCCGGGACACCCTTCAGGGCAAACCAGCCGGCCCCCACCCATGCACCAGTCCTCTATCCCAGTGTTTTTCAACCTTTTTTGGGCAAAGGCACACTTGTTTCATGAAAAAAATCACGAGGCACACCACCATTAGAAAATGTTAAAAAATTTAACTCTGTGCCTATATTGACTATATATAAAGTAATTCTCTTGAATAGGAATCAAATAAACACAAAGAAAGTATTTTATAATTACTTTATTATGAAATATTAAGTAAACAAAATAGTGAAAAATTATAAAATTCTTGTCTTGTCTGCACCTACGGCACACCAGGCAACATCTTGCGGCACACTAGTGTGCCACGGAACAGCGGTTGAAAAACGCTGCTCTATCCTATCTAATAAAAGATAATATGCAAATTGACCATCACTCCAACACAAGGTGACTTCCCCTATGTGGTCAAAGATGGCTGCTCTCATGTGTACATAAGATGGCCACCACAAGATGGCCAGCAGAAGAGGGCAATTGGGAGGAATTAAGCCAGCAGGGAAGGGAAGTTAGGGGCAACTGAGCCTGCAGGGAAGGGCAGTTGGGGGTGACCAGGCCTGCAAGGGAGGGCAGTTAGGGGCAATTAGGCTGGCAGGGGAGCATTTAGGCATCAATCAAGCTGGCAGGGGAGTGATTAGGGTGTGATCAGGCTGAAGCAGTTAGGGGCAATCAGGAAGACAGACAGGTGAGTAATTGGGAGCCAGCAGTCCTGGATTGTGAGAGGGATGTCCAACTGCCCATTTAGGCCCAATCCTACTGGACATCCTAAACAGGCAGTTGGACATCCCTCAGGGGGTTCCATATTGGAGAGGGTGCAGGCTGGACTGAGGGACACACATCCCCGTGCACAAATTTTGTGCACCAGGCCTCTAGTCTATATGTATAAAGCTCTCGCTGGTGCAATCCTATGCATGTGTTTTAATCTGTCATTGTTGATCATGAATTTGGTTAACACTTCTATTATAGAGAAAGGGCAAATAGTGATATTAAAATATTTCTTCCAATTAATTTTTTTTCAATGTGCATGAATTCATGCAGCAGACCATTAGTGTTAAATAAAATTAATTTAAAAATTAATTAGCAAACTCAAAAAAAAAAAAAGTCCCCTCCCTGTGCCCTAACCAGTTTGGCTCAGTGGATAGAGTGTTGGCCTGTGAACTCGAGGGTCCCAGGTTCGATTCCAGTCAAGGATATATACCTTGGTTGCAGGCACATCCCCAGTAAGGGGTGTGCAGGAGGCAGCTGATCGATGTTTCTCTCTCATCAATGTTTCTCTCTATCCTTCTCCCTTCCTCTCTGTAAAAAAAATCAATCATATTTAAAATCCCCTCCCTGGCAGAGACCGGTTTGGCTCAATGGATAGAGCATCGGCTTGGGGACTGAAGGGTCCTGGGTTCGATTCCAGTCAAGGGCATGTACATTGGTTGCCGGCACATCCCCAGTAGGGGGTGTGCAAGAGGCAGCTGGTCGATGATTCTCTCTCATCGATGTTTCTAACTCGCTATCTCTCTCCCTTCCTCTCTGTAAAAAAATCAATAAAATATATTTTAAAAAATAATAATAAAATCCCCTCCCTGAATGGATAAAGAATATGTATTATATTCATGCAATGGACTATTACTCACCCATAAAAAGGAATGATGAACTGATTTATACTACAATGTAGAGAAACCTCAAAACCATTATGCTAAGTGAAAAAACCAAACACAAAGTCACACATTGTATGATTCCATTTATATTGAATATCCCTGGGCGAAATCCACAGCGGCAGAAAGCAGAATGCAGGCTGCCGGGAACTAGGCAAAGGGGGAAGGGAATGTGTGCTGAATGGGTATGGGGTTTCTTTTGGGGCGATGACATGTTTTGGGACTAGAAAGAGGTGGTAGTTGCACAACAAAATGAGTGTACTACATGCCACCGATTTTACACTCTAAAATGGTTGACATTGTTATGGGAATTTCACCTCCATTAAATATATATCTAATCCCCTCCAGTACATCCTACAAAACAAAGACCAACTCCAGGTGACTCTGCCATCTCCAGTGTGTAAGACGGGCAACCTCTGTGGGCCTCACAGGGGATAAGGAAGCCCATCCTCCCGCCCCCAGGGGCACCTCCCCACAGGGATCAAATGATTAGCTGAGGTGAAAGTGCGCTGAAAGCAGGAAGCTCTGTGGACACAAGATATTCCAACAACACAATCCATGCTGTGAGCCTCGGCCTATGGTGGAGGGAGAGAGAAGCTCAGTGATTTTCAATCTCCCACTCTCTCTCTCTCTCTCTCTATCTCTCTCTCTCTGTGTGTGACTTTCAATCTCTCTCTCTCTCTCTCTCTCTCTCTCTCTCTCTCTCTCTCTCTCTCTCTCTCAGTGACTTTCAATCTCTCTCTCTCTCCCTCTCTCTCTCTCCTCTTCCATACACATACTTCATGAGGAATACGGAGCCATGGAGAAAAGAAGCTGTTCTCCTCCTCTCCATCCAGGACTCTCCCTGAAGCTCAGTGCTGCCCCTCCCCACCCCAGATCCAGTCTTTCCTCTCTTTCCAGATTCTCAACTCAAATCTCCAAAGGAAGGCTGGGAGAATGGCAAGGTGGGAGGGGGAGTCAGCGGAGGAAGGGCCAGAGCGATTAAGAGTCTGACTGATTTTTACACTATTTTAGCCCTCCCACCCTGTCCAGTTCTGCATCAGTAGGAATGAAGACAGACGTGGGAGAGAGGAATTCCAAGCTGATTTAGAGTGGAAAACACTTGCAAATGTAAAGCATTAAACACAGATCCAGCTCCGCACTAAGCACTTCGCCTCGGTGGCTCATTTATTCTCACACACATACTCTTGTCATTTGGCTCAGGGGATAGAGTGTCAACCTGTGGCCTGAAGGGTCCTGGGTTCAATACCCATCAAGGGCTCGTACTTCAGTAGCAAGTTTGAGCCCCAGCCCTGGTTGGGTATGCGCAGGAGGCAATTAATCAATGGGTCTCTATGAGCTCTCTCCCCGTCCCTTCCACTATCTCTAAAAATAAATGGGAAAATATCCTCAGGTGAGAATTTACAAAACTAACTGAATAAATAAAGGAATTTTTTTTTTTCCCTAAAAGAGGTAAATTCGCACTGTTGGTGAGTGAGGAATCTGGATTTTAATGCTGCAGCCTGACTCCTCCCCACCACTGGCCCACTGGGTCTTTTTCCGTGACTTCCCCTCTAACTGGATTGGGGGAAGGCAGGAAAACTCCCGGTCCTTTCCCACAGAGCCTCAGCCAGTGATACTGCTTCCCGGATGAGAAGGGCAGCCCTGAGGCCGAAGCACAGGCAGCCGCAAGGCCCGCAAGGCCGTCGTCCCTCCAGCCTCCTTGCAGCTCCCCGAGAGTCCAGACCCTCTGCCTCCAGGACCGAGGTGCCCCAAGGAAACTCAGGTGAGTGCTGCCCTCTCTCAGGGAAGCAGGGAATGGGGCTTGGAGATAACTGCCTTTCCTGCAAGATCCACAGATGAGAGAGGGGGCGAGACAGAGAGAGAGAGAGAGAGAGAGAGAGAGAGAGAGAGAGAGAGAGAGAGAGAGAGAGAGAGAGAGAGAGAGAGAGAGAGAGAGGGAGGGAGAGGGCGTGCGAGCGAGAGCGCGCACGCAGTGCATCCAAAGCCCACATGACAAGACAGCCAAGAGCCTCCTGAGGAGCGGTGTGGGCGTGTGAGCGGAGGTGGGAGCAGCCAGCCCACCTGAGGCTGGAGAAGGGGGGCCTGGCAGGCTGGGCAGAGATCTGGCCTGTCCCACCACTGAGGCCCCTTAGCGACGTATCTCCGCTCTTGGGTCAAAGCTGAGAAGTAAGTTGTGTGCTATTTACTCACAGTTTGAACGTTCACTTCCCCTTTCTTGCCTCTTCAGACCCAGGATCTTTCCCCAAAGCCTCCTGGTCCCGGAGCCCTGCGACCTAGGGGACACAGAGCTGCTTTCCAACCTCCTTTCTCCTCCAGCACTCCCTTCTCCCCGCCAGGCATTTGCTGGTCCTCATGTCGGTCACGGCCAGCATGGAGGCCGGGCCCTCCGTCGGGGTCGCTGCGGGGCCCACGAGCGACCTTGGCGAGGTCCACAACTGGACCGACCTGCTCTACTTCTTCAACCACTCTCTGCCCGAGTGCCAGGTGGAGCTCAGCGAGAGCACCAAGCGGGTGGCCCTCTTTGTCCTCTACCTGGCCATCTTCGTGGTGGGGCTGGTGGAGAACCTCCTGGTGATCTGCGTCAACTGGCGCCGCTCGGGCCGGGCGGGCCTGCTGAGCCTCTACGTCCTCCACATGGCCATCGCGGACCTGGGCGTCGTCCTGTCCCTGCCCGTGTGGATGCTGGAGGTCACGCTGGACTACACCTGGCTCTGGGGCAGCTTCTCCTGCCGCTTCAGCCACTACTTCTACTTCGCCAACATGTACAGCAGCATCTTCTTCCTGGTGTGCCTCAGCATCGACCGCTACGTGACCCTGGCCGGTACCTCGCCCGCCTGGCAGCGCCACCAGCACCAGGCGCGGCGGGCGGTGTGTGCGGGCGTCTGGGTGCTCTCGGCCATCATCCCGCTGCCCGAGGTGGTCCACATGGAGCTGGTGGAGAGCTCCGAGCCCATGTGCCTCTTCATGGCACCCTTTGAAAGCTACAGCGCGTGGGCCCTGGCGGTGACCCTGTCCACCACCGTCCTGGGCTTCCTGCTGCCCTTCCCTCTCATCACGGTCTTCAACGCGCTCACGGCCTGGCGGCTGAGGCGGGCGGGGCGGCCCGAGAGCCGGCGCCACTGCCTGCTGGTGTGCGCCTACATCGCCGTCTTTGCCGTCTGCTGGCTGCCCTACCACGTGAGCCTGCTGCTGCTCTCGCTGCACGGGGCCGACATCTACCTCCACTGCTACCTGGCCCACCTGCTCTTCTTCTTCTACGACGTCATCGACTGCTTCTCCATGCTCCACTGCGTCCTCAACCCCATCCTGTACAACTTCCTCAGCCCCGGCTTCCGGGGCCGGCTGCTGAGTGCCGTGGTCCACTACCTTCCCAAGGCCCAGCCCGGGGCGGGCAGACGGGCCTCGTCTTCCTCCTCCTCCACGCAGCATTCCATCATCATCACCGTGGAGGGCGCCGGGCCCACGGCTGCGGGCCCCCACCACCCCAGCCTGCACTTCCAGGCACCAGACACCTCACCCATCTCCGCTCCTCAGTCTCTTACAGCCAGCTGAGGTGGGTCTCGCTCTCCTCCCCCATGAAGTAGAAAGCTGGAGGTGTCGGTGAGAGATTGGGGGGGGCGGGGGGGAGACGGGGGAACAGGGAAAAGGGTCAAAGTACTCATGGTCGGTCCACTGGAGTCTACCTTATACCTGGAGGCGGGGAGAGGGGGAAGGGGCAGAGAGGGATCAGGAATGGGTCCTTGGTGTTGTCCTATTTGTCTCAGTCCTTGTGTCCAAGGCAGACGCATGCACAGGAGAAAGGGTGAAATAAATAATAGAGCCAGCCGTGACTCTGGATCTCTAAAAGGCTGCACTTGCAGCTGTGAGCGGGAAAGGAGCTAAGGCTAAACAGATGCTCAGCAGAAAGCACACGCGCTGCAGAAATCACCCCGGGGGGAAGAGTGAGCTCTGCAAGAACCCCTCAAAACTTTCCTGTGCATGTGTGTGTGTGTGTGTGTGTGTGTGTGTGTGTGTGCGCGCGCGCTTGCCGATCTCCCAGCGCACCACGCACCACACAGGCTGTGGGGACAAGAGGCCAGAGGCCAAGAAAACAGAAGGTCTCAGCAGGACGTTTCTGGGCAGCAACCTCGGTGCTGTGGGAGTCCGGGGAGCGGGGAAGAGGGCAGGGTGAGGCCGAGGTCTGCATGGACACCCCGCAGCTGGCCTGGCAGGATGGTCCTCCACCCCCTTCCACCATCCAGGAAGTTCTCCATTTCCTTGTTGACACTCTCCCCTCCGCTTGTCCATCCGGCGCCCCTTCCCCCAGAGCAGAGGAGCTGCCCCAGGGTAATTGCTCCTCACAGCTCGCCCCTCTCCTCCCAGCTTTGGATCTAGGACATTTCGGATCTAAACTGGATGCTCTCAGAAACCCACCCCTGTTCCTCCCTTTCTCCCCAGACCGTAGAAAAATAACAAGAGACATCCATTCTGGGAGCAGGCCCTGGGACAGCCAGCTGCAAGCACTGACAGATGCTCTGGCCCCTGCACAGGACAGGATGCAGTAATTTCCCAATTCTGTCACCGGCCGGGGTTCTGGTATTCTTCTCTCAGTTCCCATCCTTGTACTTCTTTCTCCCGGGTGTAGTCTTTTCACGATTTACCTGTCCAGCAACTTACTTCTGGTAACACTTGTCTACCGGTAGGACGAGAAGTCCTCTTGGTCAGCGGTCGCCAACCTTTCGGACTTCACGGACCTCCAGTGGTCCACGGACCACCAGTTGGCGACCGTTGCTCTTGATAACAAGCAGATCTTCTGGAAAGGCTGTCAGTCTGGAAAACTAGGACCATGTCCACGAACTCTGGTGGAAGCAAAGCCTAAGAGCAGGTTCAAGTCCACAGGTTCCTTGGTCTCTGTCCTGTCGGTGGAGACCGGAGGGCCCAGAGACACAATCGCTGAGACCTCTGTCCTGCCCAGGGCTGTGCGTCTGGGATGTTTAACTTGGAATAAGTCATTGGCCCGGGGTGCTGTCTCCTCTGCTTTCAGAAATCTGAACCTGCATTCAGCAGATGCATAAACATGCGCTCCAATGGTGTGTGCCCGTGGGTCAGAAGCAGGGGGAAATCGGTATCTATGATCCACCTGTGCACTGGGCCCAACCTTAAAGGTTCTTAAGCTACAAACAACTGCTCGGTGGCACAGAGCTGAAGGCTTTCTGATAGATCCTCCCTTCCTCCAACTGATGGAAAGATGCAAACTCCATCTGCAGCCGGACATTCCTGAGCATTGAACCACCAATCAGCACCTGCCAAATACCCTAAGCCCCCCTACGTCCCTAATCATAGGCCTTACATGAAACCACCCATCAGCGTGTGCTGAGTGCCCTAAGCCCCGTCCCCTATCCTCCTAAAAAGTGCTTGTACCCCGGCCCTCGCTCTCTTCCGCTCCTCTCTCTGGAAGCAGCCGGCAGTGGTCCTCTTCTCTTCAATAAAGCCTATGACCTGGCATCCCGGTCTCCGGCCCTCTCCATTTCATCTTTCATTCTGGCACTTTCCACCCGGGAGAGTCCAGGGTGTACAGTAAGGGCTTCCCCCAATGCAGGAAACACAGTGAAAACTTTCTTCCCTTATGCCCCCGTAAAAACCAAGCCAGCACCTGATGCCCATATCACTGCCTTCCCTGACTCGGGCTCCAAGTTTCCTAAGAAAACCCAGTTTTATATCTGCCACATCCCAGGTTACCCGAGTCCACTTCCCCAAGGTTGTGGTCTTCTCACGGTTTCACTCCCACAACCAGTTATCTCCCTGGCAGCGCATTTCCTCAGGGCCTTGGGAGGAGGGAACAGGCAGTGCTGACGGCAGCAAGGCTGCTCAGCTCAGCACTTACTGCGCAGACGGGGCCAGGGCCAGGCAGGAGCTGAGACCAAATGGGCCACATCGCACCCTTCCCTGTCGGGAAATTATGCCAAACCTCTGCCTCCTCTGTCTGACCTGCCTCTCCCCACTCCGACGTCCCCTGTCACAGGGCATTAGATGGCACTGGCAAGACAACTTATTGCCAATTTTCAAGTCCACTAGACATTGGCTGAGTTCCACTTCACTCTCTGGGCCGACAGATCCCCTCAGGGATGGTCCCCCTGAAAAAGTTGGGTCATTGACTTAATTTCCCACTAAAAACCGGTCAAGCCCTAGCCAGTTTGGCTACGTGGATAGAGCATCGGTCTGTGGACTGAAGGATCCCAGGTTCGATTCCGGTCAAGGGCATATGTCTGGGTGTGGGCTCAGTCCCTGGTAGGGGGTGTGTAAGAGGCAGCCAATCTGTGATTCTCTCTCATCACTGATGTTTCTCTCTCGCTCGCTCTCTCTCTCTCTCTCTCTCTCTCTCTCTCTCTCTCTCTCTGCCTTCCTCTCTGAAATGAATAAAAATTTATTTGAAAAACAAACAAACAAAAACTGTCAACAAGTTAACTCTGGGGAATTCCAGCTGCAGGGAAGGAAAAGGTCTGGGAGGGATCGCTCAGGCTTGAAAAAGCCTAAATCTGCTGAGCAGATTACTGACACTCAACGGGTGACTGTCCAGATCTTCCAACTCAAGGGATGAGCATGATCACAGTAAACAGGAAAAGAACTCCCATGTCCAATTTCCTTTTTTTATTCTAAATAAAAACCACACTTTGTGCCGAACAATGGAATATAAAAGAATCAGATGTACAACGATTTTAGACATCTACTATTTGGGGGGGAAATGTTTACAAAATATACAAAACTTTACAGCAATAGATAGTAAACACTTAAATATTAGGAGGTCAGTACTCATTAATTTAATGGAAGGAGTTACACATCAACAACTGTTCTCCATTTTGTAAGAGACTTTAGCTAGTAGAAGTGGGAGGGGAGGGTGGACTGGACAAAGGAAGGGTGTTAAAGAAATACTGAAATCCAAACAATTCCATCTTCATCCTGATGTCAACTTACGATAACCACATTGAAATGAATGCTGTGTACCCTCCCTCCTCCTTCAGTGCGGGCTAGGGAAAAGGAGGTGTAACGACTCCCATATGGGCACAGATTCTCCACATAGCCTACTCCCATGGCAATAAGTTCAGTGTCCATCCATAGAGGAATTTAAATTCATTTCCACAGTAGAGTCATCTGGGAAAACAAAGGGCACAGCACGAGACCAGAAGAGGGAGAAAAATCATCAGTAGCAAAACCTCACTGGGAGAAGGTATTTAAGCCCCAAGACTTGTCCTGGAGACAAAGGGTGCTGACAGGTCAGAAGAGAAGTCAGAAAGAACTTTTACCCATGCTGAAACCAGTTTGGCTCAGTGGACAGAGCGTCAGCATGTGGACTGAAGGGTTCCAGGTTCGATTCCGGTCAAGGGCATGCATGTGCCTTGGTTTCGGACACATCCCCAGTAGGGAGTGTACAGGAGGCAGCTGATTGATGTTTCTCTCTCATCGATGTTTCTAACTCTCTATCCCTCTCCCTTCCTCTCTGTTAAAAAAAAAAAAAAATCAATAGAATAATTTTTAAAAAGAACTTTTACCCATTTTTCTGGTTCTTAGGGGCCACCTAGGCCAGAGCCCCACCCCCACCTCCTTTCTTCCCAATTAGCCATGAACTAGGCACTCCATGGAGTCTTAACATTTAGGGCCCAATGAGGGCCCAGCAGAGCCTCCCGGCGGGCAGCAGGCACAGAAGAGCCGGGATGATGGTCCCCTCCTCTGGCCACAAGCAGCCTCTCTCTTTAACCCAGGGCGCCGTCCAAGGAGCCCCTCTCCCGGGGAAGCAGGCTGAGAACAGCCTCACGCTCCGTTTAATGCTCTACCATTGCCATCGGAAAATTCTTAAACATCATTTTTAAGTAAAGGGCTTTGCCAATTACGTAGCCAGTCTGGCGTACAGAACAAGAAAAAGGAGGACACGGGAGAAGACATTCAAGGGTCAAACAGAACCTCAAAAGGAAACAGCAGGAGACAGTGCTAAACGGAGTTCCGTGACAAAATCAAACAAAGGTTGAAAAAATAAAAAACTCAAAATAAAATGAGTATCTTCCACTAGGTATCCTAGAGTGCCCTTTGCCACACGCTAGTGTTTCAAGTAAAACAGTTCAGAAAAGGGGGAGCTGGAGGCAGGGGCAGCAAACGTGACTGAACGGAGGGAGGGGTTGGGTGTGAGTCCAGGGGACAAGTGGAGAAACAGGGTTTGGTCATTGAGCCTCATGAGCTACTGACCCTGCTACATGCCTGTCTGCAACCACCTGGCCGCCCTGATCACCACGTGGCCTCAGGGGGACCAGGGAGTGCAGTGTGTTGTTTATAGTGTTTCAGGGGCAAAGTTTCAAGGATTTGCTTTTTGGTTTACTGGCAAAAAGGGAATACTTCACAGTTTCAGGTTAAGTATACAGACTACCCAGCATCCATGACGCCCTCTGATAAGGAAAAGGGTCTGTCCAGCACACTCGCTGGGTTCCAGTACCAGCTCCCTCAAATCTGGCCCTTCAGAAACCAGTCCTCACCTACCGTCTGGGCGGGATGGCTCAGGCTTGAGAAGCTTAGCAAACACTTGACGGTAGGCTTTTGCACATTTTCTTTCTTAACTTTCTAAAGGTCAGTGTGGGAAAAGGAGACGCTCTCAGAGATGAACAGTCTCAGCACTGCTCTCCTGACAAGCGTGTTTCCAGGGAAGATTCGTAAGTTGGGTTTAGATGGTGAAAGGGGGCCATGTGTACAAGTCCCTTCATGGAGTGGCCAGCAGAGAGCCATGCCCTCCAAGTCAGAGGCTGGGGAAGTCCAGGGCTGGGGAGAGGCAGCAGGTGCACCAAAGATGAAGCTTCGGTTTGCCTGTATGTCTTCATATAGTGTTCCGAGTTTAGGAGGGATGAGAAAATGTGCAAAAAGGTCCTTCATGTGACTTGGTCCCCCCAGACCGGTCCCCAGTCTACTCCATCACAGGACGGGAGGAGGAGGAAAGGCCTAGGAACTTAACAAGCCCCAACTTTCTGGTTTCTTACATCAGCTGCCCCTGGGTACATTCTGTAAGAGCCTGTCTGGGGAGAACAAAAAGAATTTGCCCTGTTTAAAGGCTTGAAACGTTCTCTCCCAGTTCTCGCCTACTTCCCACATTTCTGGCCAGGATCCTCCCGCGGATATGGCTCCTTGCTGGGGAGAAACTCATTTTCCTGAAGTCTCTTATCCAAGAGATGCTGGGTAATATGCATACAAAAATAAAAATAAATAAATATTCATGTCCAAAAAAGGCTTTGTGAGTTCATTAAAAACCACTTGCTGCCGAGTCCCACCAGGAGCAGGGTCGGGGCCTAGCTCAGGGACCCCCAGCGCTGGCCTGAGCAGGTGAGGTAGTGTGTACTGAGGTGAGCCGATGAGGACGTGAGATCAAGGGCCCCCTCAAAAGCCAACTAACAACAAAGCCCCCGGAGCTGGGCAGAAATGTCTCCCAGTCAAGGGAAGGCCCTGAACTAGCTGTCAGCCAATAGCGCCCACTGGCGGCAACACAAAGACAGATCAGGATAAATTCCAGCAGGTCAAAAGTCAACTGCCAATGCTCCTGCCCCAGTGCACAAAACAGGTTACCCAGCTGGGGCAGAGAGGCCTCCGCTGCACACCACCAGTTACTCAGTCCCTTCCATCCTGAAGGGCTTCCAGTCCATCACCCCCCTCATGGGTCTTCTCATCTACACGACAGGTCAAACACACTTCTAGGCGGGAGACAGGATATAAATTAAGGCAAGGCTGCTGCTGTCAGAGACATCCCCACTTCTCCAACAGAAAATTCACGGTGGGTGGAGGTGGCCAGAGGACGCAGAACCGACTATATCCTCCCTGTCCTCTTGGCCCCCCGCCCCCGGGAAGGCCTGACGTCCTGGGCCATCACTCCATGAAACCGTGTTTCTTTGGAATTGAGGAGAAAAGAGAAACCTCCCTTCCTGTCCATCCAGGCTGCCACTTCTGGTGGCCCCGGCCAGGATTCACCCCAAAGCTTTCTGATCTAAATAGAAAGCTCAGTCCCCAGTTTGGATCTAGCTTCCAAAAGATCTGACTGTCCAGTCAGCAGATTAGAGGCGTGGAAGAGCAACAGGCACCTCCATCCCTGTTGCCTTTTCTCTGCTGAGGGCCTGGAATGGAACCTGAGGTGAGCTGCCCTGCTGACTAGTCTTTTCTAAGCGACCACACTGCCAGACTCGCTCACGGCTGGTTGTCCCAGACGGAGGTCTGGCAGTTCTACCCACAGTGAGAACGCTCCCCGCCTCCTCTATTCAGTGAGACTGTTGGTTGGATTCTTAGCAGCATAAAACTCGGGAGGCTGGGGGAGGGGGATCTGGCTGACACCAACTACCTGATGAGATCCCAAGATCAGCCTCAAAAGAATAAAAAAAACACGGCCCTTCATGAGCAAGAACAGGTAAGGAGGTAAACATGATAGGGCCGCTGCTTCTCTGAAACAGTAACAGCTCATGTGCTATTTCTTCTTTTTTTTTTTTTCTTCTTTAAACGCAAGAGGACAGAATTCCTAGCAAGGCAGAACTGTAACTTCAGCTAGGGGTGGGATGAACAGCCACTAGGAGAAAACCGATGTCCTGGCTGCCACCTGGGGGCGCCCCCGGGCTCCGGTGGGACCCAGTCAGCTGTCCGGGCTCTTCTCCGCCTCTTTGGAATGGATGATGTACATGAAGGTCTGCTCGATGGTGAAGTCGGGCGGGAGGCTGCCTTTGTGCACGCCCACGTGCTTGCTCATGAGGTTCAGGGTGGAGCTGTAGTGGCCACAGACGGTGCAGCGGTACATGAGGGCCCCCGAGTGCGTCTTCAGGTGGCACTTGATGGTCGAGCGGCCTCGGAAGAACTTGTGGCAGACCTTACACTGGTACGGCTTCTCGCCCGTGTGGATCCGCCGGTGGTAGTTGAACTCGCTCGTGTGGGCAAACCTTTTGCCACAGACCTTGCAGCTGTACTTGCTGTTCCCAGGCTGGCCCTGCAGCGCCAGCTCCTCGCTCAGGAACTCCTCCGCTGGCAGCTTCCGCTTCGGGAGGGCGGGGTGCTGCAGCCCAAAGCCGGGCCGGGGGTCGAGGCCGCCGCCGCCGCCGCATTTGTGCTGGCTGACGTGGTAGCGGTAGGCGGCCTCCGACTTGAAGCTCTGGCTGCACAAGTGGCAGCGGAAGAGGGTGTCTTCCAGGCTTTGGTGCACGGCCATGTGCTTCTCCAGGAGGTGCCAGTCCACGAAGCTGTTGGCGCAGACGGAGCAGGAGAAGACCGAGATGCCGAGGTGGGAGAGCATGTGCCACATGAGGCTGCAGAGGTTGAGGTGGCGCTGGTCGCAGACACTGCAGGCCTGGCCCTTCAAGGTCAGATGGTCCAGGATGTGGCCCCGGACCACGTGGAAATCTTTGGCCAGCGCCTTCCCGCAGGCCGCACACTTCAGTTCCGCGGAGGCCGCCCCCGGAAACAGGCCCAGCTTCCCGGGCAGGGGGTCGCTGGGGTGGACGATGATGTTGTTCTCGAATATCCCATCCCGTCGGTGCAGCGTCAGCTGCCACTGGGTGAAGAACTTCGTCTCACACATGTCGCAGGAGAAGAGGAAAATGCCGATGTGAGACAGAACGTGGGTCACCCGGGAGTTTCGGTCCTGGAAGTGGGTCTCACACACCTTGCAGTTGCCTGTCAGCAGGTCCACGTGGTCCCGGGCGTGCTGCCGGATCAGCTGGATGTTGGGCTCGAGGACCTTCTTGCACACCTGGCAGGGCATGGCCTTGTTCTCTCGGTTGTCGCTGTCCCCGAAAGTCAGCTCGTCCTCGCTGTCATCACTCAGCTCGATCACCTCCTCCGCCGTGCCCATCTCCTCGGCGGGGTCTTCAAACTGCAGGTCGTCCTCCCCCAGGTCCTCCAGCTGGAGGTCATCCATCTGCTCGAAGCCCGGGTCTTTGGAGTGGTCGCTGTTGCTCAGACAGGAGTTGGTCCCCGTGGTGATGTCTATCGCATTGTCCGGGGGGAAGAAGCTGTTTTTGCCGAAGTCCCCGTTGCTCTGAAGCTTGTACGGCTGGCAGGAGCTTGTGCTGGTTTGGATGGCCATGCTGACCGTGCCCAGGGCTGGCTGGGCCGCCACACTGGGTACAGAGGTGAAAGGAGCAGGAGCATCGTGGTCTTCGGTCTTTGGCGGCAGTGGCTGCTGCGGCAGAGGCAGGCTGTGGTTAGAGTCACCGGTAACGTTTCTCTCTTCGTCTTTATAGCTTCCCCCAGCATCGCCAGGTAAAACATAGTTTCTCTCAGGACCGAAGTGCCCCCCGCCACCCCGGAGTTCTCCGAGGGGATGGGCGGGTTCCGCCGAGCCGCAGCCCAGGGTGCCCGCGTGGCTCTCGCCGGTGCTGGTCAGGGACTTGGCCGCGGCAGTGCCCTCCAGGTCAGGGAAGGTGGAGTGGCAGGCCCGGAGGAGGTCCTCCATGCCCAGGCGCTCGGCGACCTCGTAGATGACCCCGACGTTGATCAGGTCTGTGAAGAGCTCGGACGTGTAGACAAAGCTCAGGATCTTCTCGAAGTTGGCGGGGGTGATGAAGTCCACCACGTAGGTCCTGGCGGCATCGAGCCCGGTGTTCAGGAAGAGGTTCTGGAAGTAGCCGGCCGCGCAGGCCAGCACAGCTTTGTGGGCCGGGAAGGAGCGGCTCCCCACCACGATGGTGACGTCGCACATGGTCTCCGAGAGCCGGCACTTGTTGAGTTCCTTCAGCAGGTTGTTGGGGTGGTTGGTGCTTTGTAGTTTGATCCTCATGCCCATCTTCGCAGCTCCTGTGAAGTGGCCTCCTTGTCAGCACGGGTAATCTGGGGACAGCAAAGAGAGGAGACGGATGGCCAAACACATCCCTGCCGGCCTGGGGGTCCCCACACCTCACATGGGGAGCAGGGGGAGCAGACATGGAGAGCTGCTCCATTCTGCTGAGAGCAAGGAGAGCAAACATGACAGGACCATCACCCCGCTCCCTGCATAGACCAAATACAGAGCTGTCACACCCAGAGCCAAAACCACTGAAACAAATCGGAGAGCTCGGTCTTGAAGAGAGAGTCAGTGAGAGAGGTTGTAGGCCTCGGAGCCAAGCTAGGGGTATCCTCTCTGACACAACCTTATGCTTCATGACCAGAGCAACTGGCTCCAATGAGTTTCCTCCTAACTACAGCTGTCCTATCTCACTACATCATACACACATGTAAACAGTTAGCAAAAGCCCTTTTAGCTGCTGGGGAAAAGGTAAGGATGCTCCCTCTGCCTTTCAGTTTTCTAACGTTGCTTGTCCTTTCAGTCCCTCAGTAAACCTCCTGCTCATTCTTGAGTTCCCGTCTCTCCCTACCTGCACCACCTGCCTCCTCTCTCCTCTCCATGACCCAGAGCCATTCCGACACTGACCTCCTGCCTTCTCTGTAAGCTATGAAGTTAGAATACTTTAGAACTCAAAGGAGTAAAGCAAAGTAGAACCTAACTGTGGTATTTAGTATTTCTTAAATATGCTTGATTTTTTTTCCCCACCGCCCTTTCCCGGGTTAGATACTTATGTTGACACGAACTAAGAGGTTTACTTGCTGCCACGAGAAAACATCTAATGGTGCGGGTCAAAGGCTGGCCCCATGGCCCTCTTCCCCCTGGGAGCCCGCACCCTGAGGGGAGGGCGGGAGCACCGGTCCGCCCCCGCCCACCTCGCTCACTCCGCCAGCTCCCACTCCCGCGGCCGGGCGCCCCGGCATTGTCTGGTGCCAGCCCGGCACCCCCGGGCCCTGCGGCCACCCTCCGCCGCCGGCAGGTCGGGGCGCCGGGCGGCCTGAGCGCGGGCAGGAGGGGGCAGGCTCCGAACTTGCGAGGGGGCGCCCCCACCATCCCGGGGCGCCGGTCTCCCCCCCGGAGGCCGGCCCGGGAGAAGGCACCGGATCGGGCCGGGGCACTCCGTTCGGGGGACACGGAGCACCTCGGCCCCTCCTCCCCCAGGAGCCCGGAGTCCCCGGGGGCGGGGGCGCGGGGCCGCCGGAGGCCGGGGGCGCCGGGGAGGTGGGTCCGGCGGGGGGAGCGGGCGGCAGGGCGCCCCCGAGGGCGAGGAGGCCAGGGCGGGGGTCGCGCCCCGGCGAGGGCAGCCCTCGGCCCGGCCGCGCTTACCCGGCTCCGCGGGGCCCCAGCACCATCGCCGCCGCCGCCGCCTCACACAAAGGCCCCGGCCCGCCGTGCCCGGCCCGACGAGGAGGCGGCGCCGCCGGCCGCGGCCAGAGTCTCCATCCGCCGCGCCGCTCGCCGCGCCGGCCCGGGCCGCCCCCGCCGCCCGGCCCGCAGCGCCCCCCGCCGTCCCGGAGGAGGCAGCGCCCCCCGCCGCTCGGGCGCAGCGCCCCGCCCGGCGGGCCCGGAGCGAGGAGCGCGGGGCGCAGAGCCGCCGAGCCCGGAGGGGCTCCGCGCGGCCCGGGACCCCCTCCGCTCCGGGCGCCGGGACAGCCGGCCGCCCCGCGAGCAGTTGTGGGTGTTCCCAACCTCCCCACCTCAGTTTCGGCTTCTCTGCAGCGCTGATGCCCGGGAGGAGGACGCTCCCTCCTCCCTGCTGCCCGGGGAAGCCAAAACCCGACCCCAACTCCAAGCTCCCGTCCACGCTCTGGCCGCCTCCCCTGTTCTCTGCTCTCCTCCCCGGGACGCAGAGCTCCCCGGGCTCCGGGCCCTTCTGGTCCGGCCTCTCTCCTATCTCAGCGCGGAGATAGGAGGCCGCTGCACAAACCCCCACGCAGGCACAGGGGAGGGCACGGTGTGGATGGAGGGATGGAGGGGTGGTGGATGGGTGGATGGATGGGAAGAGGAACACACAGGATGATGCCAAGGGATCTAAGCCGGTTTGGCTGTTCAGCAATCATCAGTTAGTTTGTGTCTCCTTTCCCACAATCTGACTGACTGGTGGTAGGTTATAATGAAAGCAAGCATTCTACCAAATGCTACCAAACATGAACAGGGGATGCAAAAACCGCCCTGCAACTCCTTCCTGGAGTTTGGGGTCAGGCAGTACCAAACAGTGCTGAAAGAGGCTCAGTTGAATACATAAAGCTACCACCAAATGCCCTGAAGTGGAGCATCAGACAAGCAACAGACTCCCAACCTCCAGCAAAACTCAGACACCGGGCGGCAAGGCTTGCAAGTTTAGCCTTTCCAACCAACTACTTTAACAACCTGGAGAGAGAGGGAGAGAGAGGGAAAGGGAGGGAGAGAGGGAGGGAGGGAGGGAGGGAGGGAGGGAGGGAGGGAGGGAGGGAGAGAAGAGAGAAAACTGGGCCTAAATGGAGTCCCTTGTGCTAAAAGCACATTAACAAACCAATTGCCGTTTCAGCAATAACGAAGCTAGTTGCAGTCTCAGCCTCTCCCAGGAATGTAATCTTAACCAGTCAGTCTGGAATTTCCTGGTCAGCACTAGTGAGGAAATTTGCCTGATAGGCCAATGCCGCCCCAGAGGCTGGTAACCTTGTCTAAAACAGCCCACTCCCCCGCTCTGCGTGGCTCAGTGGTGGAGTCTGAACCCAGGAGGCCATGGTGCCATTTCCCATCAAGCACAGGCCTAGGTTTCGGGCTTGATCCCCAGGAGGGGGCCTGCAGGAGGCAGCCGATCAAAGATTCTCTCTCATCATTGATGTTTCTCTGTCTCCCTCTCCCTTCCTCTCTCTGAAATAAATAAAAATAAATAAAAACAACCCACTCTTTGCTAAATCATTTCCTTGCCCCACCCCCTTTCTGCCTTTAAATCCTTTCCTTTTCTACAACTCTCCTGAGCTCCTTTCTATTTGCCACATGGAATTGGTGGCCTAATTCATGAATCGTTAAATAAAGCCAATTTGATTGTTACATTTACTTGGTTGAATTTTGATTTTTAATGGTAGCAACCTTGCATCAAGCAAATCTATCAGCACCGTTTTCCCAACAGGCTCAGATGATGATTAGCATTTTTTGACAATAAAGTTTTCTAAAATATATTCTTGATTTCAGAGAGGAAGGGAGAGGGAGAGATAGAAACATCAATAATGAGAGAGAATCATTGATCGGCTGCCTCCTGCACGCCACCTACAGGGGATCGAGCCTGCAACCCAGGCATGTGCCCTTGACCGGAAGCTGATCCTCTATCCACTGAGCCACACTGGCCAGAGTGGCAATGAAGTATTTTTAAATTAAGGTTTGTACATCAGACATAATGTTATTGCATACTTAGTAGACTACAGTATAGTGTGAACATAACTTTTATATGCACTGGAAAAACAAAGTATTTAACTCACTTTACTGCAGTAGTCTGAAAGCAAACCCGCAGTATCTCCAAGGTAGGCCTGTATGTATTTGGTCTTCATCACTAGTCCAGGCATAGTGTTCCTAAAAACCTTGAAATTTCTTAAGCGATTGGGAGCCATAAAGATGTCTTTTGTTATATTAATGAGGCTCTGGACTGAACTTCAGGATGGCAGCTGATTGCCAGGAGAGCCAATCTTATGATTAGGTGGTTGGAACTTTCAGTCCCACCTCCCCCCACCCCTTACCCCCAACCCAACCTCCAGGGAGGGGAGAGCAGGAACTGGAGATTGAATCAATCACCAATATTCAATGATCTAATCAATCATGCTGTCAAGTGACCTCAAAAAGAGTCTGAAGGCTTTGGCTAGAAATAAATGTTAAAGAGTTATTCAAAGGTCCTAGGGTTTGCACACCAGAAACACAACGAGGCAATACTCAGAGTAGTCTGAAGAAGAAAGAAAAGCTCTAAGTTCCTACAGTGAAAAGTACATTCTTGTCCTGGATGATTTGGTTCCATGGATAGAGCATCAGCCTGTGGACTGAGGGTCCTGGGTTCGATTCCAGTCAAGGGCACGTGCCCAAGTTGCAGGATTGATGCCCAGTGGGGGGCATGCAGAAGGCAACCAAGCAGTGATTCTCTCTCATCATTGATGTTTCTATCTCTCTCTAGCTTTCCCTTCCTCTTTGATATCAATAAAAATATACATTTTTAAAACGTTCCAGTTAAAAAAAAAAAAAGTACATTCTTGAGAAGAATCAGTCTGATATTCTGAACCTCTGCATTGGTCCAAGATGGTAATTCTCAAGATGGCATAGTGGCTGGATAATGGATGTCAGGAGGTGTGGATACAGGAATATTCTATCCTTAGTCTTTTCAGGGCAATCAGAGACTTATTTGGAGGTCTGATGTATATCCAGGCATTGATGAAGGACTGGAATTTCAAAACTTGAAGTTCCCAGCCTAGTTAAAACAAGGATAGGATCATTTCCTCATGCTTCAACCTACTTGATTTTAGTAATTTAGCAGCTTAACTATATGACTTCATTTTATTCCTTCTCTACTGTATTTTCACTGATGAAAAGGGTCACACACTAAACCTGACGAGCTCAGGGGGGCCGGCATGGTGGGCCTTACAAACTCAGAGGCCTACAGGATGGTCTGAAATTAAAACGTGCTAACGAGAGGACTCTTCCCCCTCCCCACGTGGGAGTCTGTACTTGTTCTTCAATAAATTCCCACCTCTGCAATAATAATAAAAATAATAAATAAATAAATAAATAAATAAATAAATAAAGAGACTTGCTAGCTAAACTTGACTCATGGGAACAGTCATGTCCTAGGCCAGTATCTTCTTGACAAAGGTCAATCTTACCTGAATCTATGCCCTTTTTGCATCTATGATAACAAACCTTTGGAATGTCAGACTAATCCCCTTTTCCAGTCCCCTCAGGGTGAAATCTCCACCAGAACACAGAAACCCTCACTGTTACTTTGTTCTCCTGCATACAATCTCTATGTGCTGTAAAAGTTACTTTTTAACTATCCTGTGCCCTCTACTGTAAAAGAAGTATTTGTCTCTTCATTTTGGTTTGTATCCAATGTCAGAGATTTCCCCCGCTTTGCTTTCTCTCGCCTCCCTAATCTATTGTCAGCAGATTTCACATAACCCTCCTTAGGCCTCCTCCTTTGATTGTAATGAATCAAATAAAGTGTAAAATTGTCGTCCTCGGAGCATTTTCTCCACCGTTGATATTTTGCTTCCCAGAAATTGTCAGTTTGGCTCAAATAAACTCATAAAAATTCTTAGAGGTTTGGATGTTTCCTATGTTGAAACTTTGTCATCAAGTCTCCGTAAAAAACAAACGGCAGTTCAGAGAGCTCCTGGGTTGGCGGACGCTGAGGGGTTCGGGAGAGGAGAGTGCAGAGAGAACAGAGAAGCTCTGTGCCACTCTCCCCGTGCCTTGCTCTATGCACCCCTCCCACTGGCTATTCCCGAGTTATTTCCTTTTATAACAAACTGGTCACCTAGTGAGCACATGGGTTTCCCGAGTTCTGCTCTAGCAAATTAATGGAACCCAGGGCATAGGTCCTGGGAAACTCCATTCTGCAGCTGACCTGGGCCTGGATTGTCATCTGAAGTTGGGGGGCAGTCTTGTCAGAATAAGCCCTCATGGAATCGGATATCATCCCTCGGTAGCTAGTGTCAGAGCACGGCTTGCTGGTGTGGGAAAACCTCCTACACACGGGCTGGAATTGGGCTCAGAACCTTTAGGACTGAAGTCCTTTCAAAGTAAGTCACCGTGCAGTCACAACCGCACATGCGCAAAGCTACAGTACACGGAGAAGGGCTGAAAATTCCATCAAGGTCTTGTTGACCAGGTATTTGGGGGGCCTCAACCTCTTTACCTCAGGAAAATGAGGGCCAGGATTACCTCACGAATTCTCCAAGCACAAAACTGGAATCTGACTTAAAATCTGTCTCCAGCTCAGCCAGTCTGGCTCAGTGATTTATGAACCAGAAAGTCATGGTTCGATTCCCAGTCAGGGCACATGCCTGGCTTGTGAGCTCGATCCCCAGGGTGGGTCGTGCAAGAGGTGGCTGATCAATGGTTCTGTCATCATTGATGTTTCTCTCTTCTTCCTCTTCTTCTTCTTCTTCTTCTTCTTCTTCTTCTTCTTCTTCTTCAAAATCAATAAAAATATTTTCTAAATATGTTAATTAATTAAATAAAATGTCTGTTTGTCCTGGAATCCTCAGTACTGCCACCAGAGAGCAGCCTTTCTACATTTTTGCTCAGCACACGACACTCAAGTGTGAGAACCAGCTCCTAAGCTTTCGTGACCCACATAAAGTCCCCAGGCTGCACACAATTAAACCCTCTGGATAGGAGATTCTGAAAAGCCAACAAGATGACTCACCGAAGGAAGGCTTGAGGATCTGGGGTGGGGACACTCTTTGACCTCTAGCAATAAACCTGATGCCAAAGACACTGAGGTGAGCTCTTCCTCCTGCCCAGCCCTCCAGTGCAGCTACGGGTCCAAAGGTGCCCGGCCAGGCTCTGGAAGGGGAGAGCTTTTCCTGGGAAGAAGCGGCCGCAGGGAGTGGCCTCTGGCTCCGTGGCCCTCTCCCTGTGCTCCTTTGGGAGAGCTGACTGTGGACCTATATCAGGGCAGTTCAGGGGCTTGGCCAAGGCCCCTGCTCCAGGCTAAACTAGGGAGCCTGGGGACCTCCTAGGCTGTTCCATTGGGGCACAGGAGCCCCTTGGGACCGTGGGCTGATAGCTAGAACAGCAGATTAATAAAAGACACCCACATACACCTCATTGAAATGCCTCACACATGGACCTCTCAGCTGGTTACAGGCTGGTAACCGCAGCATTATAGAGGAGTCTGAAATAAGTGTTTCCCTTGCCGAAACCGGTTTGGCTCAGTGGATAGAGCATTGGCCTGTGGACTGAAAGGTCCCAAGTTTGATTCCGGTCAGGGGCATGTACCCCGGTTGCAGGCGCAACCCCAGTAGGGGGTGTGCAAGAGGCAGCTGATGGATGATTCTCTTTCATCGATGTTTCTCTCTATCCCTCTCTCTTCCTCTCTGTAAAAACTCAATAAAATATATTTTTTAAATAGTTTTTCCCTTTATGACAACTAAAGTGGCCAGTTATCATTGTAAACTCTGTGTCTGGGTCACATCTCACCCCCAGCCCCAGTGCAGAGCCCATGCTTGACGTTTGGGGCCGAACGATGACACAGCGCTAGATGCCTCCTCCTCGGTGGCTGGGTCTTTGCACGGCCTTGATCCCCGCTCCCTCCTCTAAGGAGAGTCAGATTCAGAGAACAATGTCTCCTGGGCCCATCCTAGAAATTCAGATGAAGCACTTCAGAATATGTTTATTGACCTGAAGCTCGTTTGTGAAATTCATTGAGTGCAGGAAACCGTCTTCCAAATTCATTTATCTATGCTTTCAATCACTAAATAATCTTCTGGTACTAATTGTATGAAACACTGAGTAAGGCACTGTTGGGAAAATTGCTGTGTACAAAATAAAGATAACTCTAGTTAGATATGATATATCCGTGTGTGTGTGCATATCATATGTACTTATGTATGTATGACGTGGTTGGAAGAGATAAGGAAGAGGAAAAAACACACACACCAATCCACCAACCAAACAAATACATCACTCTCGGCCATATGTAAAAATCCTTTATTGTGGAGGCGGCCAGGGGAATATATGTCAATGCCAGCTGGAAGTGGGGGGTCACAGTGCACTGTCCACAGCAGCGTTGGGTAGAGGGACGGGGAAGGAGGCTCCGCACAAGGGTGCAGGCTGGGGAGAGAAGGGAAGTTGGAGAGCATGCACTTGGGGATTAGGAGGGGGTGACGGGGGTTGTTCACGATGCAGCCAGGAGAATGGAAACAGAGTGCCGAGGACCAAAAAAGTGAAATCACATCTTCTGTCTGGTAACACTCCCACCAACCGCCAGCTGGGGGAGCAGAGGAGACGGGAGGGGCATCTGTGAGGGGGAAGGAGAGAGAACAGAAGTCATAGCACAGCTGTCCCCAGCCTTTGAACTAGAGACTAACTCTCCGAGCTGCAGGTGCTTGCCCTTTTCCAGCCGTGTCATGCTGATGCTCCTTATAAACACCTGTGCTCGTGGTCTATGGAGGCTCACATAAAAGATGCAGTGACAGCCCCAGTTTGGCTCAGTGGAGAGAGCGTCGGCCTATGGACTGAAGGGTACTGAGTTCCATTCCGGTAAAGGTTAGGAGGCAGCTGACCAACAAGTCTCCTCATCATGGATGTTTCTATCTCTCCCTTCCTCTCTGAAATCAATTTAAAAAAATATATTTTTTAAATGTAGCGACAGAAATGAAGTTTATTTTTTTATTTTATATTTTATTGATTTTTTTTAATAGAGAGAAAGAGAGAGGGATAGTTAGAAACATCGATGAGAGAGAATCATCCATCAGCTGCCTGCACACCCCCTACTGGGGATGTGCCCGCAACCAAGGTATGTGCCCTTGACCGGAATCGAACCCAGCACCCTTCAGTCCACAGGCAGATGCTCTATCCACTGAGCCAAACCGGTTTTGGCTGAAATGAAGTTTATATTATCCTAGCATCCTCATGAGCCAGGCATACAGGCAGCCCTGGTGCTGACGCTCCTCCGGCCTCACCCAGTCCGTCCTCCTCTCTCCAGAACCCCTCCCTCCCGCTTCCTGGCAGGGACAGGCCCAGAGACCACTTCCTCTTTCCGCAGTTTCACATGAATGAAATCAGATGGTACAGTGATCTTTGCTGATTCATTTCACCTAATCCCTTTAAATGCCAGCCACCAGGGACCTTGTGTCCTGTTCCTCCTGGCACCGCGCAGGTAGAGAATGCTCGGCAGCGGAGAGATTATGAAGGCTGCAATTATGGGCCTGGTCCCTCTGAAAGAGCCTGGCCTCACCAGCAAGCAGTGAAAGTAGATTTCCACAATGCACTTGTTTCTGCTATTTGTATAAAATACTATGGCAAAAATTGCACTGTAATTATCTTTATGGCTGATGCACAACGCCGGGGGAGAGGGTGCCATCCAGATATAGTTGCCCGTGTAATTATCTGGCGGTCGGCAGGATTGAAATAACCATCTAATGAGAGCAAAATGATACGGCAAGTACCATGTAATCAGTGAGTTACGATTATTATGGCTCTTTGCGCCCTCTCACCCCACACTGCACGGGGGGGCTGGACCCCGTCTCTGGGCCCAGGGAGTCTTGCACAGGCAGCGTGAGCCACAGCCAGCTCCTGGGCCTGGTGTCTCCCTCGAGACCAAAGAGTGTGGGTGATAGGAAGGCAGGCAGGGCCCCCCTGTGATAAGGGGGGGGCAAAGGAGAGGCTTCCGAGTCCCTCTCGTTCCCCCGGCTTCCCCGCCTGCCCCCGCCTCTGTCTTTGGAGCCAACGCAGCAGTTGAGCCGCTATTGCCGTGCGTGGGAGGGGGTGTCCAGGCGGAAGGCTGTGTTTTGACTGGACACTTCCCGGGGGATCACACCTGCATGGCCAGTGAGAGATCTCAGCCCACTCAGGCCTGGTGCAGCGCAGACCGCTCCGGGCGGACCCCACGGTCACAGCAAGACCCGCACGGAGGCTGTCCCGGCGCGTTCTGAACCCAGGGCTTAAGGTCCTCGCAGCCCAGCTCCGCCACGCCCTGTGCTCACCCGCCTGAGGCGGGGAGGTGAGGCTCAGGGGGCATAGTGAGGGCTGGACCCCATTCAGACTCAGCCCACGCCCGTCTCCGCGAAGGACCCAGGGCGGCTGAGGTGCGGCTCCCAGCCCCGCCCCCTTCCCCCTGAGCCTTCCCGAGTTCCTGGCGTTCCTTCCCCTCCCTCTTGGCAGCACCGCACACGGCCCTGCGATGGAGATGGAGATGGAGATGGAGATGGAGATGGAGAGGCGGAGCACCCGGCTCAGCTGCCTGGGGGCACACCCCTTCCCTGTGGCCGGGAGGTGGCACCTGTGATTACCGATGGCGATCTCTCCCTTTGGCACCGATCAGGAGAGAACGGAGTTTAAACAGCAGAGGCTGTCCATCGAAAAGCAGCAGGGGACCGAGATGAGATGAAAGAGAGGCCGTGTGTGTGTGTGTGTGTGTGTGTGTGTGTGTGTGTGGTGTGTGTGGTGTGTGTGTGGTCTGTATGTGTGTGAGTGTGTGGTGTGTGTGATATCTGGGGGGGGGGGTGTGTGTGTGTGTGGTCTGTGTGTCTGTGTGTGGGGTGTGTGTGTGTATGTGTGTGTGTGTGTGTGTGGTGTGTGTGTCTGTGTGTGGTGTGTGTGTGGTGTGTGTGTCTGTGTATGTATGTGTGGTGTGTGTGTGTGTGTGGTGTGTGTGGTATGTGGTGTGTGGTGTGTGTGTCTGTGTGTGTGTTGTGTGTATGTGTGTGTGTGGTGTGTGTGTGGTGTGTGTGGTATGTGGTGTGTGTGTGTGTCTCTGTGTGTGTGTGTTGTGTGTATGTGTGTGTGTGTGTGTGTGTGTGTGTGTGTGTCTGTGTGTGTCTGTGTGTGTGTGTGGTGTGTGTGTTTGTGTATGTATGTGTGGTGTGTGTGTGTGTGTGGTGTGTGTGGTGTGTGGTGTGTGGTGTGTGTGTGTGTCTGTGTGTGTGTGGTGTGTGTATGTGTGTGTGTGGTGTGTGTGTGGTGTGTGTGGTATGTGGTGTGTGTGTGTGTGGTGTGTGTGTGTCTCTGTGTGTGTGTGTTGTGTGTATGTGTGTGTGAGTGTATGTGTGTGTGTGTCTGTGTGTGTCTGTGTGTGTGTGGTGTGTGTGTGTCTGCGTGTGTGTGTGTCTGTGTGTGGTGTGTGTGTGTGTGTGTGTGTGTGTGTGTGTGTGTGTGTGTGTGTGTCTGTGTGTGGTGTGTGTCTGTGTGTGTGTGTGGTGTCTCGGACAAGCAGGTGCCTCTCAGCGTCGGTGTGTTTGGCAGTGCACAGGGCTGGGCAGTGTGTTTTATGCGCACCAATGCCTGCGGCACCAGAGGCAATGCTTCTCGGCAGCTGCCTGCCCACAGTCCGGCCCTCCCGCCCACCGCCCTCACCTCATTCCACGTTGGCGTTGGCGGGGTACGGGAGGCTGCCGGAGCGCGGGGCGCCCTCGGGGGTCCCCTCAGCAGGCGGGCCTGGGTGAGGAAAACAGTGTCCTTAGAGGGATTTTTCTGGGTGTGACCTTCACCCTGAATCACAGCGAAGGGCTGGCGACAGGGCAGCCCTGGAAGGCAGAGCTGGAAGGAAGCTCGGTGTGGGAGACGGGGGTGAGGGGGGGCCAGAGCCTCCCTAACCCACCCCCCACCCCCCGCCCCCCAAGGCTGCAGCAGGGCCGGCGTGTTGGAGTCCCAGGGCGGCTCCTGGGAGCCCTGCGCTGGATCCAGGCTGACCGGGTAGACAGGGCCTGGAACCCCTGAGGCTCAGAGAAGCCTGTCGGTCCCTCTGAGGACAGACACGCGGCTCCGGGCTCCCGAGTCTCCGGCCCGGCCCGGCCCCTCCGCCCCGCGCACGCACCTGGCTGGCCGTTCCTCTTGCCCATGAGCCCCACGAAGAAGTCGTGCATGTCGCCTGCGGGAAAGGCAGCACGTCCTGTGGCCGCCCGGCCGGGCCCCACGCCCTCCGAGCTCCGGGCAAGTGGCTGGCAGAGGGCCGGGGGGGGGGGGGGGGGGGGGGGGGAGAGGCTACTCACGTTTCTGGAGAAAGGACCGTTTCTTAGGATCTGTGGAAACAAGAACAAGTGTGTGGGGTCTGGAAAGGGGTGATGAGGGAGCTTCAGATCACAACTCTCCATTATTCACTGAGCCGTCCCGAAGGGGTCTCCCAGGCCGACCTAGTCCCCGGAATCCTGCCCCCCAAACCCACCCCGTCCCCCACATCCCTCTCCCTAGGCTGCTGCGTACTCTTGCTCGCCTGGCTCAGAGCCTTGAGCAGTTCATCCACCACGGAGACGGAGTTGTGGTTAGTGAGCACCTTGAGCAGCTCCTCGATGTTCGGGACCTTCTTCTGGCGGAGAGAAACGGAGGGCTGAGGCAGGGGGCTCACACCCAGGCCCCTCACTCTCTTCCCACAAGACAGAGATTTCTCTGGAGTCCATCACAGCTGACCCCGACAGCTTGTTTCTCTCAGGATTTCCTCCGGCGGGGAGGGAAGAGAAGCAGGCTCTCTCAGGCTTCGGTCTGTGGGCCCGGGGACCAGCGGGGACGCGTCAGAGATGCCCACCTCCGCCCTCGCCGGCCTGCACGTTAACCAGGCTCCGGGGGCTCATACGCACAGCAAGAAGCTCAGAAGCCCTGGAAAAGGGGACGCACCGGGCATCCCTGTAGCCGGGCCCATCCCGTTTGCCCGAGACGAAAGGCCTTCCTGGGGGGTGGCTTTCCCCGCTCACGGTGAGCAGACCTGAGCAAAACGGAGACAGTGGCCAGCTGTCCCCATGCCCCAGGGCCCCGTGAGCCTCTTCCTGGGGCCCTGCCCAGCTGCTCCCACCCCTCAGTGCGAAGGGCCAAAGATGGGGTTACCCCCCTGGGGGAGCAAGTATGGGACTGCCCTCTAGGACTCCCCCCACTCACAGGAAAGGCCCTTCCGACAGAGCAGGTGTCCTCTGATTGTGCCCCGTGACGGAGCCACAGATGGCACTCCCCCTGGGGCGGGCCGGGTGGGAAGGGGGACACCTCTGCAACCCTGCAGTCCCCCGCTCTGTGCGATGTCTGCGGGTGGCTCTTTTATTATTATTATTATTATTATTATTATTGATTTTTTACAGAGAGGAAGGGAGAGAGTTAGAAACATTGATGAGAGAGAAACATGGACCAGCCGCCTCCTGCACACCCCCCACAGGGCATGTGCCCGCAACCAAGGTACATGCCCTTGACCGGAATGGAACCTGGGACTCTTCAGCCCGCAGGCCGACGCTCTATCCACTGAGCCAAACCGGTTTAGGCTGTGGAAGGCTCTCTCCCCGTGGCTCCCTCCCACTGCCTCTTGATCTCTTTTCTTCCCCGTGGGTTTCTGCCTCAGGTTCTCTTCCCCTCGCCCCTGACCGCCCTGGCCTCGGAGCTCCAGGAAGGCACCGCTTCTCCCCCTCCTGCAGGGAACCCCAGAGTCCAAGCAGGCGTTCTTAATTGTCCTGGTGATTTATTTTCAGTAACTTGGGCGCAGCAGGTGGTCGGTGGGCACGCCCCACACCCCAGGCTACTTAGCTGCAGAGACAATGACAGTGACCATGCTTGGAGGGTCTCACTTTGAATCTCACAGGCGCCTCTCTCTCCAGAGTCCGAGGGTCCCTGGGCTGCAGACCCCACACGGAGGCACAGTGACAGGATGCGGCCACTCACACCAGCCCAGCCTCCGAGGCACTCGTACTTCCTCCCCCTTCCCTCCCCAGTCTCCCTGGTTCTCAGACCTGCAGGAGAAGGGATGGGGTAGCAATCTCTCTCGCTCGCTGACGAGGAGGGGCAGGGACTCAGAAGCAAGTTCGCCTCAGAAGAATAGGCCCAGATATCCTGCCCACCTCGAGCTGGGACTCTGGGCTCTGGACACGGTGTCCAGCCCATGTTTGGTAATCCCTATGTGTTTTTACAATCTGGTTCTTTTTTTTTTTTTTAATTAAAAATAAATTTTTAATTAAAAATGTTTTTAAATTGATTTCAGAGAGGAAGAGAGAGGGAGAGAGAAACATCAATGATGAGAGAGAATCATTGATGGGCCACCGCCTGCACACCCCCCACTGGGGAACAAGCCCCCAACCTGAGCACGTGCCCTGACCAGGAATCCAACCGTGACCTCCTGGTTCATAGGCTGACGCTCAGCCACTGAGTCAAGCCGCCAGGCTGAACCGGTTCTGGTCTTTTGAATGCGGTACAACTACTGCCACTGGGAGGCTGCCAGCCTGCGGTGCCCTGACCCGCTCAGAGCTGGAGGAAGGTTGGCCCCTCCCCGCCCAGCGCCCAGTTCCCTGGCAGCCCCTTCCCCCGACTGTCCCCACACTCTGCCCGCTGCCTGCAGTGAGATGCTAAACAGACATGAGCTGGAAACGCAGTTAGACTTCACACACTGAATTTGTAATAAGTTCCACCTCTAATCATCGTAAAAGCTTTTTTTTTGTACCAATGTAATCGCTATCGTCCCAAAACCTTAAAACGACTTTCTCCCCGTGGCCTGACAAGTTCTATTCCTTTTCTTGGAGGAGCTTTGGAAACTGGGGCCTAGCCCTTATTGTGTTTGTTTTTTGTTATTATTTTTCTATCCTGACGAAGCAGAGACCGGAGGAGGGCGAGGAGAGGAAGAGGGAAGGGCTGGGATCTTAGGACCACCTGAAGTTACGGGGTGAACGAGAGAGTTTATTCAAATTTTGAAAACAAAATAATACATGTAATTGATCAGTAAAACAGCACACAAATGACCATGTGCGGGAGAAATTCTGACTGTGTTTCATAACCTCCAGGGAGTACATAGAATCCCCTCAGCATCCCCACCTCTCACCCCCCCGCCCGCCGCCCGCCGCCCACCGACACCACCACACACACACACACACACACACACACACACACACCTCAAAGGAACAGACCCTGAACTTGAGCTGGACCATAGGGAACCTTAGACCAACCTGCCCCCACCCCCACCCTTGCCTACCCCTGGAAGTACCATCTAATCACCAAGCCAGCAGTCAATCAGACGAGTAGGGCACTTTTTATATGCAAGGTGTCAAACCTGTGCAGAGGGACAGACATCCTTTCAGACATGCCCAAGACAGTGAGCACATGGGCTGAGCAGATAAGCAGGGAAGAAACACACACACACACTCTCCCTCACCCCCCATCCCGGTAACTCCCAACCCACCGGCCGCACCTCCCCACCACCCCTTCCCCTACAGCTTTTGGAACCAGCAAAGCTGTTGCTCCCATGATGTTGCCCAGCACTCTGCCAAGGCAGGCCCAGCCGGGGGTATGCCTTACCTCTTTGTGGTCCCTATTGGGTACCACCTGCTCCTGTGACTCCTCACCGACGGCCCCGAGAGCCAGGCTGAGGGCCAGGACGGCTGCCAGCAGCAGGGCGCTCCGCATGGTGCTAAGAGTGCAAAGAGACAGGCAGGGGAGGCGGGAGGAGGACGTAAGACGAGGGAGAACACAGGAAACGTTCCCCACCAGCAGCCTAGCCAGACCCTGCCTCCCAGCCCCCGACGCTCCTGCCCCAGCCCTCGTCTGGAGAGGGTACCTCTGAGCAGGGAGACGTCCCTGGGCTGGTTTCCCTGCTCCCCCATCAGACACATCTCCCCAGGATGTGCTCCTGGCAGCAAGGAGCAAAGTGCAACAGTGCCGGGACTCGAGGCTCCGAAGGGAGAGGATGGGTTTATAGGACGTGTGGGGTCTGTTTCCTGCCTCAGCTGCAGGAGGGGCCCTGGACTCTCTTTCCCAGCACGAGGCAACCCCTAGACTGAGGCAAAACTTTCTCGTACAGAACCACCAGTCCACAGCCACAGGCTGCGAACATCACTAGCTCCCAACCCCTTTCTTCCTGCCTCCTTCTCACTGCCCAGCGCCCGGCTCCCGGATCAAAGGCGGATCAAAGGCGGCCACTTCCTCTACTTCTCCCGACTGTCCTTCAGTGCCAGCCTCAGTCCTTCCCACCTTTTCCCGCTCTGCCTACCTGTGGAGCCGCGTGGTGCCTACCGCGGGAGGGTCTAGCAGAATCAGGGAGCTGGCCGGATTACTGCCCTGATCTCCACAAAGCTGCTGCCGCCGCCGCTGTGAAGAGAGAAGCGGGAGTAGAGGGGATCTGGGAATGTGGCAGGATCAGCTCCCTGATAAAGGCTCTGGGAGGGTCTGGGGGAGCCGGGGGAGGGGCCGAGAACCACCAATCCCAGGATGGCTGGAGGGGAGGGGAGAGGCTGGTGGGAAGGAGGGCCTAGGCTGCAGCCACACACACACACACACACACACACACACACACACACCTAACTCTTCAGTGCGCTGGGGTTATCCAGCAGGCCACTTGCAATAGCCCCTCAGCGGGGCACGCTAAGGGATCATTGGTGTGTGGTTTGCATGCCTGGTCCAACTCAATAGGCGTGGTCCCTGGGCCTCCTGCTCCTCCTGTTCACGCCCCCAGCTCCTTGCCTTTTAACCCTTCGGGCAGAACAATTCCAGGGGGTGCTCCCACCCCCAAGACAGCCAGGACAGCCAGGGACAGGCCCCCGAGGACAGGAGGTGATCCCGCATCCCCTCTAGCCCTCACATCCAGTGTTCTCTCCTCAGCTGGAGGGAGCCTAGCACCTTAGTCCTCAGATCAAAGGAGGGTCAGTGCTTCTCCTGCCATTGAATGCAGAGACCTGTAGGTGTCTGGCTCCATCAACGCCTCTCCAGGACTGGTGCCTCTCCCCTCAGGCGCCGACCCCACTCTTTCCTGACTCGAGTCAGCCTGCCTTGGTTGCATCCTTCTAGAGCTCTAACTTCCGGTCCTCCTACTCTCAGAAAGGAAGCATACCACCACAGCGAGGCCAGCCTCGGTCTCTTGATTGCTTCTTTTCTCCTCGCAGTTACATGTCCCCCCTTCTCATCTGTGTCCCTGAGGCTCAGGCCCCTTCTCCCCTGACCTCTCAAGCTCCTGTTCGTGGCCCACACTGTTGAGGAGGCTCCTGCTGTTTATCTCACACCCAAGGTGGAGCCAGAGTCATGGCCAGGATGCCCAGAGACCCGGAGAGAAAAGGTGCTGCTGATGGAGATTGGGGAGCGGCCCAGTGGAAGCCACTCGTTGCTCCCATCATCTACAATGGGAGCAGGATTTACATGTTGGCAAGGTTGGCACAGAACCATTCATTTGATTTTCATTGCCACCACCATGTGAGTAGGAAATGGTCCCATTTCTCAGATGAGGAAATTGAGGCTCCAAACGTTCACATGCTCCAGGACCTACAACTCCTGGAGAAAAGCCTCGGGTTCGGGTTTTGTCGCTCTTAAGCCTCCCCTGGTCTGGGCTTTGACCAGCCAGGGAATGGCTAACTCTCTCAGAGGAAGTGGTGGCCCGCCTCTCCAAGGAGACTTGGGGGTTTGGGACCTTGGACTCTTCCACATCTTGAGGTTGGGGAGTGTCACAACCTTTTTACGGCGGAGGTTCAGGATCTGAAGGAGGGGAGGACACACAAATGAAAACACCAGACAAGAAATATGAATTTAGAAGGCATATGAATTTAGGGGCCAGGTGGAGACTTCTCTCTTGTGTTAGAAATTCTGTAACTGGTTTGGCTCAGTAGATAGAGTGTTGGCCTGAGGACTGAAAGGTGTGGTTTGATTCCGGTCAAGGGCATGTACCTTGGTGTGCAGGAGGCAGCTGATCGATGTTTCTACAATAACTCTCTTTCCCTCTCCCTTCCTCTCTGTAAAAAATCAATAAAAAAAAATTTTTTTTTAAAGAAAGAAGGTGAGCCCCCAAATTCAGGGGTCCTGATAGAACACAACACATACTTGGGAGCCAGGCAGCAAGGCAAACATCTCTACTTCTACGTAGAAGGGTGTGCACACATGGTCTGGAAGCACACGCACTCTGAGCAAGCGGTCTGCTCAGATTTATAATCCTGACACATGTGACCTGTCTCTCACTCTTGATTGGAGCTCAGGTGCACAGTCTTTCGTGATTGGCTAATCCAAGGGGAGGGGCTGGCCTTTTCTGTTTCAAGATGGCAGTCCCCAGGGGAGCTGCAGACCATGCAGCCAAAATGGCGGCTGTCTGACCTGCTTTTTGACAGAAAAGATTACTTGTTTCTTCTCAATTCCCCCCTTTCCTTTACCTAACCTCTTTTTTCTTCAAACTCGGCTGACACTCATTGACTTTCATGCTCTACAGCAGAGGTCGGCAAACTGCGGCTGGCGAACCACATGCGGCTCTTTGGCCCCTTGAGTTTTTAGCAAAGGCCCGTTTAATTAAGTTAATAACAACGTACCTACTTATAGAGTTTAAGGTTAAAATATTTTGGTTCTCAAAAGAAATTTCAATCGTACTGTTGATATTTTGGCTTTGTTGACTAATGAGTTTGCCGACCCCTGCTCTACAGTGTCTAGGACACATGTGTCAAACACAAGGCCCGCGGGCCAAATCCGTCCCGCCAGGCCTTGCAATGTGGCCCGCACCGCGCTGTCATCACTGCACTCCGCTGCGTTTCCATCACAATGACAGTTTATGACTGTTCAGTAAACCATTCGGCCCGCGATTTAGGGTGGATTTTAGATTTTGGCCCCTTCTCTGATTGAGTTCGACACCCCTAGTCTAGGAGAAGACTAACTTGCTGTTTGGTCAATGTGGTTTCAATTAACCATTGGATAAGACCCCCTCCTGCATATATGAGATTATATAACATCTTATCACTGTAATTTATAATAATTAAAGGGGTGAATGTGGACACCACCGCTCCCTTCCCCTTTCCAAACCACTGCTCTAGTGAATCGAAGAAAGGACCAGGTTCCAGCTCCGTCATCAGCTAAAGCTGCCAGGGCCTTAGTGGCTCAGGATGGTCTATCTGCTGTGTTGTCAGGGATGAATGTACACACTGACCCCAACATTACACAAATTCCTTTTTTTTCTGCCAGAATCAGATCCAGGGCCAAGCTGTTCTCCCAGGTCATCCTGTTGGTGGCATCTAGTTGTTCAGCTATTCCTTTAGCTGAGTCTGGTTATAGTAAATATAATTAATCTAACCAAATCCTTACTTACAGTGGGCCGCCAGCACAGCACAGACTCAAGCTCTGCAGCAATCTCATGCCTAGCCTTAAAGTCACCTGGCACTCCTCCCGGAACCCCGATGGATCTGTGAGTGTATAGGGATCAAAGGAGCCCCCTAGACTCCCTCTCCTCTTCCTAGTTGTCTGTCCATTGAAAAAGGTTTATGATATGCCAATGTGAAAGGGATAGCCAATTATATCAGAGCACAAGTTCCACTCATTTGCTGGGCACGGCCGCAAGTCAGGGTCCCCCATGACACCACCAGACATCAGCACGGGGTATCGACAGTGCAGCATGATGGGCTTCTGAGGGTACTTGGGCATTTACGTATCCGAATAAATTTCTCATAAACTCCAAGCACTGTTCCCCCCCTTGAGAGGCAGGAGGTATAGTTTACGTCGGAGGACAGGCCAAGTCTTTGAGGGGGAGAGGAGGGGGGGGTGGGGGGGGGTGGGGATCTTAGCTCTTCACCTCTGTTGGTGGGAACAACAGGGCAAGAGTCTCATAGGAAGCGTTTCCCCAGGCGGTTTCCTCCTGACACAGGGCAAGCACCCATTCCATCCTGTTCCTGTCTGAGGTCCATCTGAGTAGAAAAGAGACCACTTGAGCCTCTAGCCTTCCTGCTGCACAAGCATAACAGTAGCTTTTATGAGGGCACCTATACCTATAGAATATTTAATCCATTCCACCCAGGCATTCGTTCCCTTATATCCTACTTCTATTTGCATGGTGGTGGCAGTGGTCTATGGGATTTGTCCTGTGATATCTACTCCTAAATCTAGTCCTAGCCAATCTTTTTTACCTAAAGGCTAAAATATCCAAGTCATTCAAGTTATCTATAATCAATAACTTAACCTGGTAAGCATCATCCAGATTATACACATTTCTCCAGCCCACATTTGTAAGCCTGAAACTTGTCAGATCCCTAAAGCAAATAGAGCCCAGTACATGATGGTTATTAAGACAGCTCACAGTTTTTGTTGTTGTTCTTATGTTTGTTTGCTTGTTTTTTACCTTTAAAAAAATATATATATATATTTTTTTTTACAGAGAGGAAGGGAGAGGGATAGTGAGTTAGAAACATTGATGAGAGAGATACGTCAATCAGCTGCCTCCTACACATACTGGGGATGTGCCCACAACCAAAGTACAGGCCCTTGACCGGAATCAAAACTGGGACCCTTAGGTCCACAGGCCAACGCTCTACCCACTGAGCCAAACCGGTTAGGGCATAGCTCAGTTTTTAACATCAGTTTCAAGGGGACATGTCCTGATATGGCAGTTCAGGTTGTGGTATGTCCTCCCTTAACACATGTGTGATGGTTCCAACCTTGCTCTGCAGTCTTAACAGCAGTCTCTGTGGTAAACAAGACAGGAGGGTTCCAACTTGCTTCCCTTCTAAATCTGGATTAGAACAAACTTTGTCTTCTGGTCTATGGTGATGAACTGGAAACTCAAGAGGGCTTTGGGTCAGAAGGCCTTCTAACCTGAGAAAGATTAGAGTAGAAGAGATACCCAATATTTAGTTCTTAAGAAATTGGTCCCTAATTTCCATTGAAGAAAGATCTTGAGGCATTCTAGGGCCTATTGGAATTACCTACAGCCAATTCTAGGTAAAACAAATAAAAATAACAACAACAAAAAAAACAGATAAACAAAATACTTTTCTTATTTAATCAATTTTCTTTTTAACATTTCTTTCTACAAAATTCCTATAACTTCCACAGGCATTCTTACAACTTTCAAAACCATTTTTACAACTTCCAGAAATAACCACCTTCTTTTTCCTTCAAAATGCATAACCATGCCTCAGTCCTTCCATTAAGTATTTCTATTCTAATATTCTTGTTTTCTGTCATACCATTAGCAACTTGTACAGTTGCTTTAAAATGTATTAGAATTCTTCATTCTTAGAAACCTTAATTTTTCAATTACTAAAAAGTAAACAGCCAGCATTTCTTAGATTAACACTTATGAACATACTTTAAAATGAACTTTTACTTTCAAGAAAATATACCTTCAACAAAGTACAAGAGATCTTCTGTGATGAAAACTAAGAGCAGGCAAATTAAAACGTGTCTAGCAATTAATGTTTCAGTTTTAAATATAT